ATATATTTCAAACCAAACGCAAATATATTTTAAAAGGCTATCTAGCTTTCTCTTTCCTTGAACTTGTAGAAATATGTAAGACAAGTATTTTTCAGGCACAAAACAAGTGTGTCTATTACAGGGGTTAAGATAAAACCTATTGATGAAGTAGAGTTATATCTACTACTGTCTTATTGCATAAAAACTTGTGTCCAAAACTAAATAATGTCACAATATTAAATACAGAATATTTTTACAGAATTATTGAACTGGTGAAATGCTTCTGCAACATAAACTCATTATTTTACAGGTTATTAAAAGAAAAGCCTTCACGAATACCTCAATAATAGTAGTACCGCTGCTGTGAGAGTTGCACTTTGCGATGATATTTTGAATAAAAGCGCCAACCCTAAGCTGCAACACCTGTGAGTCACACCTACATTTAATACCGCTAGAGGCAGACAAAGCGTGAACCAACCCGTCAGACCGCGACTGAACGATTCTCAAATTAACATTCCATCACCATCAAAGATAGAATTAGGTATTACTATTTTATTCCTATTACAGGGTTTGAAGTGATTTTCTAGTTATCCGTCTGACGTAGTGAAAAACGGTCATCAGTACCTAGCCAGTTGACGGACTTCTGAGGTCGACTGAAGTGAGATACAACACCCTTTTCCCCAGACGATACAAGCGTAGTTACGATATAAATTTAACGTTTGTATCAGTGTGTCAGACACACCATGTGTATAAGTATGTTTGTCTGTGGTATCATAGGTCCGGACGGATGAACCAGTTTTGATTTATTTTTTGGTTTGAAGGGTGATTTGATCGAGAGTGTTCTGAGACATAATTCAAAAATCTTATACTTGTTGAAAGTTTTTTTTACTTTTGAAATTAGACCGATGTCTTAAGGATTTGTATTAGCTTGAGGCTATAAGTTTTTATCAATTTCACTCCAACACAATTACTGCAATCCCAGGCCAAATGTGGGGTTTATAAAGTTCTATAAAAGAAAGCAACAAAAAGCATATTGCAAGGCACTCATTTTTCTTACCATTCCGGGTTAACGTTTTGAACACCTTTTTTTCGTAGCAAGTCGCTAGAAGTAATAACAAAAATACTCATGAACACACTATTAGCAAATATGATGAAGAAATATTCCTAATTAAATACCTAATGACTCAGTAAACTAATAAGTAACCAAAAAAAATGCCTGCGTCTGATGCTTGGTTGAATATGTTTTTGCAATTTTGTTGTATACTCAAACCTTCTTTCTAAGGAGAGGCCTATGTCCAGCAGTGGACTATTAAAGGCTGTTGATGTGATGTGTGTATACTCAAAACTCAATTGACGTGCTTGTAAATAGTATATAGTAGGATAAATATTCGAAAGCGTATTTGTTTTGTTGACAAAAAGTTGATTGCATGTTAAACTGTGGATCATCCAGTGTTTACCGTCGTGATATAACGTCACTCAGAGATATACATCATGCACGCATACCGGTGTAATTGTATACCTCGTATATTGTTATTCTGCGTTCTATTCAGATACAACCAGTGCACTTTTCACTTAAAGACTCAAACATTACCATGACATTTTTTAAAGCGGATAATAGAAAATCCTAATATAGAGGAGGAACTTCGACCGTTTTGAATATCTTGTTTTTACCAGCATAATTAATCTTTCACTTTAGAGTACATTTTGTATAAAAGTTTTAGCCATGCTCAGTCATGCATGAGCATGAGAATGTTCTGATTGAAAAAATAAAATTAAAAAAATAAACTGGCTGGTTTTTCAACGTGATAATTCGGGTAAAAGTATAAGTTTAAAAAAAAACTGATCGTGGCAAATTATTGAAAAAATCGAACAGGTGCGAAAAACCAAATTATTGAAAATAAACAGGGAAAAAAATAGGAGGTTGTATTGTGAGAAAAAACGAAGAAAATGAGAGCTCCTGAAGTCAATTTCGAAAGTAACTTTACGAGAAAAACGCTTTCCTTTTCTCAGTTTCGAGATTTTGTCTTTCATTTTCTCAGTTTCTGTGACTACTACTAGGTAATCTCTTCGGAACTTCAATTAAAGCTTTTAATACATTTTTTTTACAAATTTGTCGCGAAATAATAATAAGTTGGCGCACAATTTGCGAAAATGTAAAATAGGTGCTTCGGAAAAACCTTGCGTGATCGGTGAGAAAGCATCCTACGAGAATTTGAAAAATGCCATTGTTTTTTCGTTAAGAGTTGCCCTATAACCTCTGCAAAGTTTTAAATCTTCCAGATGCATGACAGACCCGTGAAAATGTAAAGTATCATCCCGAATTATCCCTTTGAAAAACCAGCCAGTTTATTTTTTTAAATATGAAGTTATTTTGCGCCGCACAGCCTGTAGTACTACAAATAAACATTAAATAAAAATATGCCAAATATTATATGTTTCTATGCGCCATATTTGTTTAAAATGGGGCACATAGAATGTTCTTCATGTTTTAATATATCCACAAACCAGGTAGATGGGCCTTATAAATACCAGAGGTTGACGGTGGATGCAGATTGCTTCGAACCGGTTATCTTCAAAGTCCTTGAAAGACAGACATATACCATATCCAGAAGTGGACGTCATGTGTCTGAAATGATGATTTTGATGACATGCCTATAAATATAGATGTGCGCGGGTAATATAAGACTTTTATTATGACAACTTTGAATGAAAAAGTATCTTTGATTGATAAAAAATTGTACGTTTAGCTTCTCAGTATAAGTCTGATATATGTTAGTGAGTGGGATAACTTTAATTCGCATATCAATCAAAGATACTTTTTCATTAAAAGTTGTCAAAATAAAAGTCTTATATTACATGCCTAGCTTGAACAAATATGTTTACCAAAACTGTAGTCCATGAAACTATTACATCGACAAAGAGAATGGCCGAAGGTAATTTCATTGTTTTTTTTCGGTCATAGCTAACTGTTGTTGCGCTCGCGACGACAATTGATAGTTGAAATGAGGTTGAAATGTAGTTCATAACAATAAAAGTAATATAAATACTCTTTGTTGTACACCAAGAAAAAAGAAACAAAAATAAACAAAAACAGATACCTATTATATCTACCTATGCATAAAAATGAACAATGGGTAATTCATCACAATGCAAGATTAATACCCGAAACGAGAGGAACTGAGATAAATATAATATATGGGTATAATTAGGTACAGATGCGATTCCTCTTTTTTTTTAGATAGAAAACTCCCGCACGAGGAATAAACCCTGTGTCGATGGACTTTACAAACATACATGAACGGACACACCCAGACTCAGAACAACAATTTGTGGATCACGAAGTGTCGTCCCATGTAGGGATCGGACGCACAACACTCAACGTAAAGTAGCGGCGTTGCGACCGCTTAAACCACCATCCGTGCAGTCCATATGCATTCATGTGTACGTGCATCTGATCATTATTATATGTGCATGTGATCCATATTAGTTGTACTACGTACTTTTTAAACGACTTAAAAAAAAAACGAGGTGCTTTTTTGTTTTTTTTTTGTTTGTTATCTTAGAACTTAATCAATTAAGAACCAATTTGGAAAATAATTTAATTTAAAAGAGTATAGGTACTTTTCATTTATTCCCATTCAAATGTAAAAAAATACTACCTCTATGTTAAGGAATGATGAAAACAGTTAATTACATTTCCTGTGGGTGCATTAAAGTGAGTGATACTTTTTAATTAAGTATTAATTTATATATAAACGAATATTAAAAAAGAATATATAAAAGAATTTAATATTCTAATCCACTCCACTTTTAACACTCACTTTTTTAACTTTCAGTTACTTTGTGAGCCAAACATTTTGTTGTAGTGATTTTAACTAAAATTATTTAGCTTAATCGTTTATATTTTGGTTATGTTAAATTTATTTTTTGTAATGTAATAACTAATAAAAACGTTTAAAAAATGTGTGTGTTCAATTCACACACAGCAGAAGTGAAACTTCAGAAAAAATAATACTTTATTAAATAAAAATATTGACACTGCCAAAATATTATAAAAAAAAATACACAAGCAACACAAATATTATTGTGTGTAAAATCACACACACACAAATAATTTACTAATGTTAATAAATTTAATTTTAGATAATATATATATTGATCAAATAAACATAGATGTGTTAAATAAGTAACATAAATTAATTAACCAACGAATTTTAATACGCAAATGGAAAAATAATAAAACACTTGAAGGAGACACCACGTTGTTTTTGAAACATTTTCTGAAGGCTTTCTTGTACTCAGGCGCAAAGACATGTCATAGCGTAGAGGAGACGATGATTACAGAAAACACTATATACTTGTAATCTATGCCATTCTCTCGCAGGCTAAATCCTATTTATGAATATGTTTGTCTCTTTTTACTGTCGCTTTTTCGTTTCATCGAATTTTCAAATCACAACGGTGCTAAAGAAGTTTCACTTCAAAACAGACATGCATATTCCCTTGAGATTAATTTTCTATTTGAGACGACGAGCTATATTTACATACTCATCTACCGATATGGTTTCTGAACAGAAATGTACTTTATATTAGGAACTAGAGTAGAAAGACTCAATTTGTAGCATAATTCACTAGCCTACTTCACAAGATTGACTAGGTGTTTATGAGTGGACAATTAGGGTAATAATTTAAGTTATAAATTAACAGTAATATTGGCTATCAATCCATAAGACAAAGATAGAATTCATTCAACGGTTACGGCTCAGTGCGAGTAGCGAAAACGAAAACTATAGCAATATAGGATATTTGTCAATTTCTTTAACAACTGCAAGTTATTTTTTATGAATATAAACTAAAACGCAAATACCAATTTAATAAATTAATGTCTCTGTTTGATCTTAGATTGCTACTACAAGAAACATTTATATTTGTAAAAAAATTGTGTGTGTTGGCAATGATTTAAGTACAAAAAAATATGCAGATGTATTTTAGTAATTGATAGTTAAAAAATATTTTTTCAGGAAACGAACACTGAACTTTTACCTCGAACACACTACGGCACGTTCTACGATGGTGAGGCCTATCTGGTGTACTCTTGTTCGCTGCCGGGACAACCGGCTGGGCCGGATGTCATTGTAAGTTAATTCATTTTTATGTTTGGTATAATTTGGAATAGCTAATACCTAGTTACTGTGAATGTGCGTCTTTATCTCCGAAGGGATAAACAGAGGCTTGTTAAACTTGCTTGCTTTTATTTTTAGTCCCACTTACGTAACAGGGCACAAGTCTATTACCGTCATACAGAGCATTTTGCAAAATTCATGTAAATTAAATGGTGTAGTACGCGACTGCTGTCCATGAGGCCTCGGGTTTGATTCCCAGACCGGGCAAAATTTTATAGGGTTTATCTAAGAGGAAATATAGCCTAAGTTTCTCCTTATATAGACAGATAACTGGTAGTAAAATATTATCAAAATCGGTCCAGCCGTGTTTTGAAGATTAACAGGAACAAACAGACAGACGAAAAATATTTAAACTGGTTTTTAGGCATAGGTATAGGCATAGGCAAAAAACCGTGTGTGCATGAAAAAAATACTATTATTTTGACATTACAAATAGACACTTCAATTTTATTTATTTGTATAAATAAATTACACCCAGACATCGAACACATTACATTATAGTACTCATCACACAATATTTGTCCTGTGTGGGAATCGAATCCACGACCTCTGGCTGTCAATCAATCAAATACCAGAAAAAAATACAGTAATAATAATATTTTAATAAATGCTAACTAAACCTCTAAAATTATAATTATTACCTACATTACACAATGGGCAGCCTTTTCGCAAAAAGTAATATTTTCTAAGCGACTTTTAGATCTGCTTTGAAATATTTTTAGTTTGAGAAGTTACAAGTTACACAATCATTTTATTTCTTAACGTAAGAGAAAAGCATAGAATGGAATACATTTATGTAACTACCCTATATTCTACAATTGACTTTAAAGTGATAATGTTGCATCACACACGTTTATGAGATTAATTAAAAATAAATGCCACTTTTATCACAGCGTCGCGAAATAAAAGAGAACGGCAATGGCGAGTTTGCAGAGCGTCACATCCACTCCTGGGGCGGTGAGCGCTGCGGCCCACTGTCTGCACTGGCCCTACGGCGAGGTACTCAGCTTGCTGCATACCTCGCCGCACCGACAGTTATGCACCGAGAGGCCGCCACCAAAGAAACCCCTAGGCTGCTTTCCTATTTCAGAGATGGTATTAGGTAAGGATTATTTGTCTTGTACTTAACTTAATCAGTAATTTTTAATCTTCTTACACTTGTTTTCACATTATGTAATATAAAAAATTCCTAACCAGAATTCTTCGAAGCGGCTCAACGAATCTGAATGGCAGCGCTCGGCTGTACCGCGTGCGTGGCCGTCGGCCAGTGCTGCAGCAGTTGGAGCCAGTGTCTTGGGCCCAGTTGGCCACCGATGGCGTTTTCCTGCTCGATACGTCTTCGTTGCTGGTGTTGTGGCTCGGTCGAACCGCCAACCTTGTTGAGAAAATTTTCGGAGCCAAGGTCGCGTAATGTTACGGTTGGCGAAATTAAGTAGATGAGAAATGTAGTTTAAAATTTTAATTCAATTCTAATTACTTAACAATTTCATTTCATAAGAAAATTTATGCTTGCTTCCTTCCTCATACTTCTAAAATTTATTAAGAGATACGCATCACAGAGGTTCCTGCCTCATTGGAATGGGAAGTGGAATGTTTGTTATTCGTACAGGGAAACACAATGAGTATAAAACACTAATAAATGTTTATTTATTTTATTCAATATACAAACACAGATTGCATATCGCATGGCTCGTGGAGCAGACAAAGGGATAATGTCACGTCGTATCGCGATCGCCCATGATGGATATGAGCAGACGTTGCCGGCGGGTGATCGAGCGCTTCTAGACACACTCCTCGAGCTGAGAGCGAGAGCCCTCCGACCGGCCTCGCCACCTGCAGATCCCCCTCATCCCGCACGACTGTACAGGGCGACGCAACCTCCTCGTGTCACGTCTATAACTGTACCGTCTCAGCGACCGGCTGCAAGGCTCGAAGAGATCAAGCGTGCGCCTCTCTTCAGGGAAGACTTAGCTGATGACGTTAGTTCATTAAACATATAGTGCCTAGGTTTGGTTGTTCGAAATTGATTTAAATTATATGAGTTGTGTTCTCTCAGGGAGTTTACGTCGTAGACAGCGGCAGTCGCGGCGTGTGGGCGTGGGTCGGCCCGTCGGCGGTGGGTCCAACGGCGCGCGGTGCGCTAGCAGCTGCGCGAGGGCTAGCACGTGCACGCCGAGTGACAGTGCCCGTTTCTTCGGCTCCGGCGGGTCGTGAACCCTTGGAATTCGCAGCCTTGTTCCACAATTGGCGCTGGTGTGATGCAAGACGTGATAGTCGTCTGCGTGCAGCCCGATCGGCTACTACCAAGCTCGATGCCGTTAGTTTAGCGTCTAACGCGTGGCTTGCGGCTGAGGTAAGTTTTTTGTGGCTATTTTCTCATATTTTTTATTTATAACACATTTTGATTAAAGATTGTAGATTTCTTCTCCAAGTTTAAATTTAAAATATTCCAAATACAACATTCCTCCGTACGCGATATTTGCTGAAAAGGAGTACAAGAAACTCGTTTTACGTTTTAATAAAATGATAATAGTCAAAAGTAATAATATCTTGTAACAGGCGCAGCTGCCAGACGACGGTTCCGGTGCCCTTCGCGTATGGCGCGTCCGACGCCGCGAGACAGACGCAGAGGATCCGAACAAAGAGCCGCTGGCAGAGGTCGAGCGCCCACAGGCCGCGGTCTTCTACAACAGGGACTGTTACATTGTTCTCTATACTTACCACGCGCCCACTGGCGACCAGACCATATTATATTATTGGATGGTAACTAGCATGTACCCTTTTATTATTTTTCCAAAAGCACAACAGTCCAATAAAATATGCAATCAAATATTTTTATAAGCTTTTTGTCATTTTCGTAAAATCATTGTAAAGTTTTCTCGGGATATAATTTAAGAAGAATTGTCTTCTTGGAATCTGTGAATTGAAGTTGAATCTGAAAATTCACGAAGACATCAAGAACCATACATACTAAAAAGTAGGCACTAAATTACAGCGAATTGTGAAAGACCGGTGTTTTATTATTCGATTTCTTCGTACGTAGGTTACGGTTACTACTTACTCACGCGTTGTTGCCGATAAGCTGTTTTCAGACGATGCATAAAGACCCTATTTCGCCATATTAACCTATAAATCTAGTATTTATTTTATTTTATTTAGCTACCATTCCCCACATAATAATTAAAAAAATACTAGATTTACTGTTAAATTGCGTCTAAAGCAGCGTCCACACTATGCCGGGCGAGGCCGAGCGGGCTGACCCGGGCGGCCTAAGCCGGGTTGGTGTGGACGCCCCTGGCGGCTTAAAAAGCCGGCCCGAGCCGAGCCGATCCCAACCCGCAGAAAGTAGGTACAGATCAAAGGATGCCGGCCCGAGCCGAACGAAAATATGTAGTGGGGACGTGCCGAGCGGCACCGGGCGGCTTTAGTTGTCCAGTCTTGGTGTCGAATTGAAACTAATAGGTAGATATAACCCGGGCGGCCTCGTTTTCGGTGTGGACGTCGTGCCGGCCCGAACGAACCCGCCCGGCTTAGGCCGCCCGGGTCAGCCCGCCCGGCCTCGCCCGGCATACTCCGGCATAGTGTGGACGCTGCTTAACCTACCTACCTAGCAATCCTAACCTACGTACGCAAAAACCGAATGCAAAATCACAGTTCACTGTAATATCCCATGTTGTTGTCCCATCGCTACAAAAAACATATCCATTTTGATATAGGTAGTTGATTAAAAAAGGTAAAGACTCCAACAAGTCTAAATTTTATAATCACAGATCACATTGAAATTATTTTCTTTATTTACTTAGGTACCTACTTATCAAAAATTATTTTATGGATTACGAAGTGTTATTCTTTGTTATATAGTAAGGCGGTGTCATTATAAATAAAAAAAATACTATTTCATTACGGATGTATATTTAAAATTTATATTGCAGGGTGGCTCTTCGCCAAATGATCTCAGGAATTTGGGTGCAAAAGAAGCTAAAGATCTCTATACCAAACTAGGGCGTTTCCCTGTTCAGGTAACTTTATCAAACAATTACTTAATAATTAGCTGTACTAATTACATTGTTACACTATTCTGACTTTATTATATTTATCACGAATTTTACCAACATTCCTACTAATATTTTAAATGTAAAAGTAGTTCTGTCTGTCTATGACGCTTTCAAGGCTGGTTTAGGCTGAACCGTTTTTAATGGCGTTGATTCTTGAGGAAGGACATAGGCTACTTTTAACCGCGATAGCCGACATACATGCGGGTGGAGCTTCAGGCTAAAGTAAGTATTTTACATGTTCAACCAACGTTTTATAGAATTTGTAGTTTCTGGGATGTTAAGACTAGCTGGTAGCCGCGACTTCGTTCGCGTGAAATTTGAAAGGCGCTTCCTTAGTGATGTAGTACGGTACGCGTCTGCAGTCCATGAGGCCTCGTGTTCGATTCCCGTAACGGTCAAAATTTTATAGGGTTTATCTGAGAGGAAAAAGAGCTTAGGTTACTCCTTACCTGTACCTGGTAGTAAAACATTATCAAAATCGATTCAGCCGTTTTGAAGATTACCCGGTACAAACAGACAGACAGACAGAAAATGTTTAAACTGCTTTTTAGGCATATATATTGTACAAATAATCGTCTGCATGAAAAAAAAACTATTATTTTGACATTACAAACAGACACTTCAATTTTCTTTATTTGTGTAGATATGCATGTTTTAAATAATAGGTATAGGATAACCCTTTATAATAATAATATTTTAGAAATAGTTTAGAAATACATCTAAGTAAAAAAATTTAAACTACAATTACGATTACTATTAGGTAGGTACTTAGTCTATTTACCGCGTTAAATATGGCCTAGGTTTTCTCGAGTTAATGAAACCCTATTACGTTTCCTCGACTGGGTCTTACTGGGCAAAATAGATGCAAAGACCCAGGTCTTTAGAGCTATTTTAACAACTTAGATGGGACTCGGTTCAGGGAAAAGTACTTGGATTTTCTGAAATTAGTTAAGACTAACAACCGTTAATTGAATACAAAAAGTAATAAACTTTATGTTTTAGGCGTGGGTGTATCAAGGAAAGGAACCAGCTCACTTTCTTCAAATATTCAAAGGTCGAATGATAACTTATTCTGGCAGCGCAACGGATTACGACCGTAAGTAAAAAGAGAATTCTTTCTTTGAATTGTATGAAGTGAGAACAATCGACTTCAGACCACCTAAACAACATTACTACAAAACATAGTTACGGATTTGAATTATTTAATAAAATTAAAGCCTTTATTCAAATATATATATTTTATTTTATACTTTAAATATCATGTGGTACCTCGAGTAAAGGCCTCCTCGATTTGCTTTTATTCTGTAAGTCTAGTAGATGGTTTAATAAAAAGCTAACGTTTTTTTTGTCTACCGGACAGCTACAGGACGTCGCTTGCTAGCACCGTCGCGGGTCCTGATCAGGGTGTCGGGCCAGTACGCGCGCGAGGCTCGTGGCGTGGAGGTACGCGAAGGGGGCGACGCGAGCGGAGCGGGCGCGTGCTACGTGCTGAGGGATGGTGTGCGCGTCTGGGTCTGGTGCGCTGCTAATGCCACCGGAGACGAAAGGGAAGTCGCCAAGAACATGGCAGCTGCAGAACATACGCTTGTCATGCAAGGTACAAGAATCATCTATCTATTGTTTAAAAAAATACTGTATAACATAGCACTTACATTAAAAAATTACCAAAAATAGACGCTTCTATTTTATATGTTTTATAATCCTGGTACCCACAGTAAGATTTAACTTGTCTGGGTACAAAGTCGTAAGATTGAGATCCTCAGAGGAAGATATTTCTACAGGGAGACCTCTCATATTAATTTTCACTCACGTACGAATTAAATTATTCATGTAACATAGGCGACCAAAAACAAGAAGTACAGACAAACACACTATCAAATAGGATGGTTATTCGGATTTATCTCTACGGGTTCCAAAATAATTATGAATTCAACGGCAGGTAAAGAGAAGACCAACTTTTGGAATGCACTTGGCAACCGCCGGCATCTTCTCGCACCGTCTCCATTGAAGGAAGTCCAACGTCCCCTGCCGCCGCGTCTATTCTACGTGTCACTTGGAGTACCTGGCCAATTTTCTTGTAAGTCATTCACGTTCAATGTAAAAAACCTGATCGCTGCTAAAATCGTTATGCTGCAACTCTTGACAAAAGCATTAAATGTAGCGACGGAACCGTTACACTAGTTTACACGGTTTTCATACCCCAGCTGAAAGTTGTTATTTTGTTATTCATTTAGATAGAATTATCCAGAAAAAATAATAAAAAAATTCGGTCACGTCTGGTTTAAGAAATATTTATTAACTTAACTGAAATACATAATTTTGGTATTAATACTAAAAAAAAATTAAAAATGACTAATTTTTGCCTTCTTTTTATAGCTATTTGAATCAGTTTCTCTTATAATGGACCAACAGTAATCTCCTAACATGTTTTCATCCCAAAATCCTTGATGTCGTTCTTCAAAAACCTTTAAATCTTGGTGAAAACGTTCCCCTTGTTCGTCACTCATACTTCCTAAGTTTTCAGGGAAAAAACTTAGATGCGAGTGCAGAAAATGAATCTTTAATGACATGTTTACTCCCATCTTTTGTAAATTTTCCAATAAACCGGTAACAATTTCTTTGTAATTTTCACTTTTTTTGCTTCCCAAAAAATTTTCCACAACCATTTTGAATGACTTCCAAGCAGATTTTTCATTAACAGATAAAAGGCTTTCAAACTGAGAATCTTTCATAATTTTACGGATTTATGGGCCAACAAATATACCCTCTTTCAGTTTTCCTTCTGTAATGTTTGGAAAGATTTTTTGTAAATACCGGAAAGCATCACTGTTTTTGTCAAGCGCCTTCACAAAATTTTTCATGAGCCCCAATTTGATGTGTAAAGGGGGTAGAGTGACGTTATTGGGATCTACCAACAGCTCGTGTTTAATGTTCATTTTGCCCGGCATATACTCATTCCGAATAGGCCATTCTTTTCTTACATAATCATGTTGTTTCGCTCTACTGTCCCACAAACAAAGGAAACAACAGTATTTTGTGTAACCACCCTGCAATCCCAATAACATACCGATGACCTTTAGGTCGCCGCACAGTTTCCATTGGTGTTCTTTATACTTTATTAAATTAATTAAAATACGCATCGTTTCATAGCTCTCTTTACAATTCACTGCGTGTCCTATTGGTATGGACGGTTTTTTATTACCATTATGTAATAAAACAGCTTTTAGACTATATTTCGAAGAGTCTATGAATAGGCGCCACTCTGTTTTATCATAGTTTTGATTCATTGCTTCAAAAAGTCCCGGGATATCAGTACAATAACAATATTCACCTTCTTTTTTGAAAAATTCTGAGTAAACTTTGCTTCTGTTTCTGAAAAACGTAACTTTTGTGCCTGGTAGTAATAAGTTCCACTGTTGTAAGCGGGAACCAAGAAGCTCTGCTTTAGATCTTGATAATTGTAAATCTCTTGTAAGATCATTTAATTCGGCTTGGTTAATTAAATGTGGAATCTTTTCTTGAAGTGAGAACTCGTCAGAATCACTAGAAATCGATTTGAATTCAACATCACTTTCATTGTCATCTAGTATATTTGCACTCGAATTACCAGGACAAACTGGATGTGGTAGATCTTTCGAATGTAATATGGGCTTAGTAACAGACGGAACATCGGCATATATAATACTTGCCTTATTTTTTTTATTATATCCCAATGTCTTCGTAACACAAAAGTTACAATCATTTTCATGATTACTAGGTTCTCTCCATAGCATTGGTGAACCAAATGGAAGGTGAACGTTTTCTCCTGATGACCACTGGAGTAAGACGATTCTACAGCTTTCGCAAAAAACATGAGGAACCCACTTTTTATCTTGATTTGCAACGGGAAATCCAAAATAATGAAGATATGCACTTTTTAACGAATCTACAATGGGTCTTCTCTTTTTTGAAAATATAAACTGTCTACAAACATAACAAAAACGATCAGAAATTTGTTTACACTTTCTACTGGACATTTTAAATCAATCCGAAACAAGATAATTGTCGCTTGAAGCGAACGAATAAACAATAAACTGTCGTCACCACGTTAGGTAGTTAAAAAATAAACATTTGACTGCAGGAAGAAATTGTGACGTGATAAAATATTTTTGCTAACACTTTTAGATTTAAGGAAGGTAGATTAACATATTTATATACATTTATTTTGGGGTCTAAAAAAAAAGTTCAATTTTGTAAACTAGTGATTATTTAGGCCGTAATGTTGTTCCAACTCCTATACCGTTGCATTCGTGGTAGCAATAAAATTGATTATTACAGTTTAAATAAATTTAATTAGTAAAAGACAAAGCGTAGAAAAAGACAAAGCGGATCACTCTTTCTAATTTAAAAAAAGTTGGTTCGGAATATGTACTAGGAATATAACTCCATTGTGATGGTTAATATTTTAACCCCTCTAGTCGAAGAGATAGCATCATTCAGCCAATACGAGTTGTCGCCGGAGATGGTATGCGTGGTGGACGCGCACCTGTCCGTGTTCGTGTGGCTCGGCGCGCAGTGCTGCCCGCGCGCCAAGGAGGAGCCGCGCTGCGTGGCCCGCGCCTACCTGGCGCAAGGTATGTATATGACTCAATTTACATACTACTGCACCCATTTGGCTTAAGTATATGCGATGTAAAAGCGACTCTTGCTCCTATACATTAAAGTATAATTCAGCTCACACAGTGCTGATAAACTATTACCCTAGAAGCTATTATTACTAACCTTTTCTGACAACGTTAGGGTTGCATTTCTTTACTTGTCAATTACATGGTATAGTCCAGTCATTTAAGCTTAAATTAGGTAAGAATCTCGGAATTCGAGATACCCAGCTGTAAGTCTGTAAATACTTGTATATTGACACCCTAAAAGTTGTCTCAAAACCTACATATGGTAGGGTGTAAGCAACTATTAAATTTCAAGGTCAAAAGTCACAAAAATCAGTTTATTGCGCTTTTTTTGGAAATATCTCATTTCCTATGGGTTTCTGCTATTTGTATTCATTTTCCATATTGTAAAATACAAAATTCTCTACAAATTTTGTTCAAAAAATTTTTTTATACGGTGAACCGTTTTCGAGATAGAGGGCGGAGAGCGCACGGTCACAGCATCACTTCAGGTCAACCGGTGCCTCCGGTCGAAAACGCGCCATATATAGTTGATGAACTATCGATAAATCAATGATTATAAATATTTGTCAATTTTTATTAACTATTATATTATATTTTATCATTTTTTTCCTAACTTATCCACTTTTTATTCAGTATTAATTTATTTAACAACACTTACCTGCCCATGTAATTGCAGAATTGTTAATGAAAATATAGGAATCATATTTGAATTTTAACCTAATTAATATTAATAACTTCTTACATGATGAAAAAAAAAACAAATAAATTATGAATTAATCTTTTTATTAAAAAATATCATTGAATACATTTATTTTTATTGAAAGTAAAAAAATGGAATAAAGGTTACAAAAACTACAATTTATAATTTTAATCATCTTCTTCCTCTTCATCGTCGTCTTCTGGCTGCTGATAAATTTCAAACTGGTCTTCATTATCGTCTTCAACGACATTTGTCTCAAGTTCTTCCATGATTTCGGGGTCAAAGGTTCCATCTTCGTTAATGTCGCTGTGATATGGTAGAGCATTGAGACAAGCTTGCCCATTACATTGGCCACAAGCTAAAGAGCATTGCAAGCCACAACCACTCTTGCAGTTGCAGAAAATTGTATTTAGCAAATCTTCTGGAGCAGGTGGTAAAATTGTCATGATAGGCTCCAGAAAACCATTTCGCATTGTCCAACCCCATACCTGGGGTTCCAAATCATGTCCTAACCAAGTTTGAACTTGATAATATACACGGTTGAAATGTTGACGAGCAGCTGCACTTGTTGGTGGAATATTTGAAAGCTGAACAGGTTTATTAAGTTTTGTAGACTTGACGTAATGCATATAACGAAGATGATCGAGACTTTTCACAGATTTCAGAGCATTATAGACTGCCAATAAGGTTTGAGTTCCACTCTCTAATATTCTCTGGGCCGAACAACTTTTATTTATAATCATTGATTTATCGACAGTTCATCAACTATATATGGCGCGTTTTCGACCGGAGGCACCGGTTGACCTGAAGTGATGCTGTGACCGCGCGCTCTCCGCCCTCTATCTCGAAAACGGTTCACCGTATAAAAAAAATTTTTGAACAAAATTTGTAGAGAATTTTGTATTCTACAACATTGAAAATGAATACAAATAGCAGAAACCCATAGGAAATGAGATATTTCCAAAAACAGCGCAATAAACCGATTTTTGTGACTTTTGACCTTGAAATTTAATAGTTGCTTACACCCTACCATATGTAGGTTTTGAGACAACTTTTAGGGTGTCAATATACAAGTATTTACAGACTTACAGCTGGGTATCTCGAATTCCGAGGTGAACTTACTATAATGACTGGACTAGTAATGGTAAGTAAATATACACAGAACGAACGTGCGACATCGTTGCACATACGTTAGTAGTACATAAACAGTAGGCGCAAATAATAATTTTTGTTTTAAACTTTATTCAGATCCTGCTGCGCGAGACCCCGAAACGCCTATTCTGGTTCTAAGTCAAGGCAGAGAACCTCCTCACTTCACTGGTTTCTTCCCGCATTGGAAGCAGTCTATGTGGAAGGTAGTTAAAAACATATCACGAGTCTTCAACAAAAGAATACTGCAACTTCAATCTTATATTTGATTTCAGGGTCACAAGACGTTCAGTGCAATCATCAGCGCTTTAGAAGGCAAAGCCATAGTACAGAGCGGCAATAACGCATTACAAACTGGCAATAGTACTAATCGGTTTGACCAGTACGAGAAGTATCCTTTGAGCGTACTAAAGGGACCAAAAGAACATCTCCCTCAAGACGTTGATCCACTTACTAAGGAGGTAATCATGTCTAACGAAATTATTTTTTGTGCGGCAGTGCAAAATCTGGCACTTACAATTACCATAAAGCAATTGCGCATCGAAGAAAAGTAATAATAGCGTAATTGACATCTCAGTTAAATTAGTTACTTTTATCTTTATATGAAAAATGTATTAAATATCAACTCATTACGTCACTACATCAGACTACTCAATTGAAGAATATATTTCAGTGTTTATTTGATTTATATTCGCAATAGTTATAAAAAGCTAAAATAATTATATTTTCTGAGATGTTTTGTGATATTCGTTTTAATGAAGCGGACATTGTTATTTATTTATGATATAGTCAACTACTCTATTATTTTACGAGGCTACAGACCCAAAAACGAAGCTTACCTTTTACGACTGCATCTACAACATGGATAATTACGAAGTTCTTTTTGTAAATAAATTTTACACATGGAGGGTGTCTCCGTCTACCATTGAAGGTAGAGTGCAAATATTTGAAAAACATTTTCAAATATTTGCACTGAGCAGGCATCAAACCCGCGACGCGTGACTTGGCAGTCAAATGCTGCGTCACGCAGGTCATTAAATGGACCTAGTACTAGTAGCAACTCGAGTCTGAATATTCCGGTTACTCCTTCTATGAATCATTTTACAATTAATATCATCTGTTTACAGCTGTATTTGACGCACGATGACTTCGTGGCGACGTTCAGTATGTCGTACAACGAGTTCCGATCCCTCACTGGCTGGAAACAGAAGGATCTTAAGAAAACAGTCGGCCTTTTTTAAACCGACTAATATAGTCGAAGTCACCGTAGTTGAAGCTTGTCAGCTAAATAAGGTCACAATATACATGGCCAATGATAAAGAGTAGCACCGTTATGCACAAATCTTTATTATAAAACAAATACTTACTACTTTGTTTTTAATATTTTGCTGTTGTTTTAATGCAATGAATATTTTTTCTCCAAATATGTTATTTCTACAAATATTGATTATATTATTATATGTAGCACCAATATTTATAACAAAAATACTAAGTATTTTTTGAAAAAATAAAGATTTTCTTATTTGAATAAGCGCTTGTTAACGTTATTTTTATTTATCTCATAGTAATGTGAAATTATCAAAATAAAATGTTATTAAAGTTTTAAAAATAAAATAATAAAATTTTAATTGTTATTTTTATTTTAAAAATAGTGCTTATTTACTATTGGGCATTAATTTTACCTTAAAATTAATCTTTACAATTTACAATGTTTCAAAATCCATAAAGTATCGGTTGAATTAAAAATGTATTTACACTAAATTAATAACAGATACCATATATTAAGACTACATGATATGGGTGAGCCGTAGCTAAGGCACGTTTCATTAGTATTGCGTGTTGCGAGTGGCGCGTGGTGTGTGGCGTGTGGCGCGTGGCACCCTGCGTGACGCCACACGCTCCACGTACTACCACTTACAGCGATCATTCAAACCATAATACAAATTATATGCTCAATATCATTATAATATTATAAAATATATGATGGGCTATATGAAATGTCATCTATCACCGAAAAGCTACTTGAAAATTCTTTACAAAATATGAAAAGCTAGTTAGGAACTTACAATTTTAGTAGATAAATAAATCGTTACAATAAAATGTTTAATTCGATAAAATAAATAATTTACATAATGATTTTACATTAAGTATATCCGTTATTGTAAATATCAGACAATTTGGGAGTATTTCTATAATCGCACGATTTACATGATTGCGATTGTCGAGAAAAATACTCCCTAAAAATGTCATTTTAAATAGTAAAATCAGGTTATCAGAATTATGCATAGTAAATAACAATATTATTATTACGTGGAATTAATATTAATGACGAGACATGGAACGAAAACGCGAACTTTATTAGCATCCAAAATAAACAGTATATTTTTTTATTATTTTTGAAATTTCTTTGGTAATAAAAAAACCGAACACATGAAATAAAAAATATACCTCTTGAAATAATATGGAATGAAATACACGAACAACACAATGCATAAGCTGCCGTTATAAAAAATAAAAATGCATCTCAAAATAAGCGTATAACTACGACGAAATTGCAATTGTTTTTAACGTTAAGTACGTAAATTTAAAAATTCGCATGTCAACATGAATGGAGAGATTGTTCCGCACTTACATCTAAAGAAAATAACACAAGCGATAACTGTATATGCGACAGAACAGAGAACTTGAGTCAATTAAAAACTAATGAAAACAAAACTCAACATAGTTTTCGTTGCAGGAATGTAAACAATGTGTAGAGTAATATTAAACAGGGCGTTTTATAATATTTAACAAGAACTAATAGTAACAACAATGCGTCGGAGGCCTGTTTCCTTCTAGCACCACGGCTGTCGCTGCCCACCTACCTACGGGAGCTATATCGTCCACAGTCTCGAATAGTCAATTCAGTTTTTGTATACCATATATTAAATACAACCTTCATTAAATATAATAAATACCATTATTGCAAAATGTCTTTTATGGCCCTGTATTATAAAGACGTTAAATCCGTAATCGAGACTGTAAGGGTATAAACCATAACTAGGCGGGAGTACAACACAAACACTTCTATATCACAGCTTACCGAAGCCTTCACAGACTTCTCGCTCTATCATGGCTCGTTTAATACCGTCGCGGAACCGCTGGCTCCGGAACATGATATCAGATTCTTAGCCGATATTGGAACATTGTGCCCGGTAGAGTACAATAAGAAGATAAATACCAGTTCATCTGAGACAGACGAGTTTAAATATCATATAAAGTATTGTCTTCAACACTCCCAGCTACTTTTGTACTTTATACTCACAACTAAGCAGGATACAATTTATTGTACACGAGTTATACAAGGCCCTTTGTAATTTGGTGTTATAATAATAAGCTCTTACGTGATACATAGAGTTACTAAACATAATGTAAAGGATTATAAAATTTAAATAAAGGGGCTTCTTATTGTAGGGCCAACCTGTTTTTACACCGATATAGTTTGGCACAATTACGAGCCGTATTTAAAAATATTATAAGACACTGTTAAAATTGCTTTTAAGTTACATTTCTTAGCTAAAAACAGCAAAAGAATTATATGTACATTCGGTGTTGCAATAAGCAAAAAGTTTTAGAAAATGCTTTTAAAAATCATTGCAAAATCTTATGTATTGTATAATAGCTCTAGATTTCACTACAAAAGTCTAGAATAAATTGATGTTGATTCAAGGAAGCCCATCCGAGTCTTAAACAGTTAAGTAACATTGCGGAGTTTTTAGAAGAACTATTCCATTTGAGCAAACATCTTTGATTCATTAAAAAAAAAACCTATGGCACAGTTTCTTCGTTAAGTTGCATCTAAGCGTGTATTGTCTTACTTGTGTACTTAATCTAACAATAAGGGTCCCTGAATCACAATAATTTGCTACAGTTCAATGAACATGGTATAAGTTTAACTAGAACCTTTAACATCACACTATAATTATATCAATTCCTGCTAGCATCAATTCACAACATGCAGTTTATCTAGTGTTAGTAACAGTGCATTCATGTGCTCGTACTACGCCGGCAACTTCGTACCTATCCCCTCAGTAACATTTAATCTTCAAGTTCGACCAAACTTGCCGCTATCAATACATATATAAAGCATACTGATAGCATAGAAATGTGTTGTTAAAATAAAAACATAACGTATATAATAAAAATGCTCTACTGGTTTAAAATACATTTTACCAAAATATTTTTCAAAGATAACCAGTTTCTATAAAGTTAATTTATAATACGAATTATTTGTAAACTATTTGGAGCTTTGAACCAAATGTTGATTAATTGGTGATAAATTAGTACATAACGTGATGAAAATCTAACAAGACGTACATAACACCACCCGGTTTAAATTACAAGGCGACGGTGCTGTCGCCGGTTAAAACCCCATTCGCTTCCGAATCAACGAGACAACTAAAATATAAAATCATAATAATATCAACACAGTTACTAATATTTACACGAATCAGTTTTCAATGATCCGAGAGAATATAAAAGTTATCTTTATACAGCACATGCTAAGAGCGGTAGTCAGCACCACTGCACATTTTGTGAGATTTCTTTTGTGTAACCAACTTCTATATCATATACTCCAAAAAACAACTACTCAGTGTCAGTAAAATTTTGATAAGTACAAAATATTCATTTTTTTTAATAACTATCACAGCAATCAAGCCGAAATCTTATAAAAAATTTGGACAAAAATACTTAAACTTATTCATTTAAGACTAGTTAATTACAAATTGTATTGAAACTCGGGTAGAGAATTGTGTTAGATCCAAATATTAAATATAGTTCAATACCAGATCAAGTGCTGAATAGGCAACGAGGATGTCAATGACATCACTCGAACACCAAGAATACACAATTAACAATTTCCTAACAGGCGTCGAGTACTTCATAAAAAGTAGCTCGATTCACAAGGCGACGGTGATAACTCAATTAATTTAATAAATCGAAATATTAAAACTGGGTTCCGTAAATACAAAAATTCCGCAAAAAATGTTAGTACAAAAAACCAATACGCGGTGAACTAAGCAACTCACGGTTAAACCTTTTTAAAAAAACGTAAAGCAAGTAAATACTTAAATCGCATCTAACAATGGTGTCTCATCGTTAGCAGTGATGAAATGAGTGAGTTAGTGAGTAGAGGGCGAGCGGCTCACTGCCGCGGCAGGGACGCGTTGGCCGGCAACGTAGAGCTGCGCTGGGATGCGTTCATGTACGCAGACTTCAGGTTTGACCGCATCGAGTCCCTGAAAATTTAAACGCTCTATACAATTCCTAGGTATTTAAAATAAAATAGTCCAATAAACTTAGTTGAGAATGTTTAGGTTTGATAAATCTTATATTTAATGGCATGGGTGGTCGCCAGTTCTGTGAGTGTGTCAGTAGCGCGAGTTACCTGGGCGAGAGCTTGGTGTGGTCGTGGTTGGTGTGGTGCGCTGCGCGGTACCCGTAGCGCTGCACGCGGCGGGCGAGGCGCGCCCCCCAGCGGCGTTGTCGCCAGTGCTGTGAGTGGGTCAGTAGCGCGAGTTACCTGGGCGAGAGCTTGGTGTGGTCGTGGTTGGTGTGGTGCGCTGCGCGGTACCCGTAGCGCTGCACGCGGCGGGCGAGGCGCGCCCCCCAGCGGCGTTGTCGCCAGTGCTGTGAGTGGGTCAGTAGCGCGAGTTACCTGGGCGAGAGCTTGGTGTGGTCGTGGTTGGTGTGGTGTGCTGCGCGGTACCCGTAGCGCTGCACGCGGCGGGCGAGGCGCGCCCCCCAGCGGCGTTGTCGCCAGTGCTGTGAGTGGGTCAGTAGCGCGAGTTACCTGGGCGAGAGCTTGGTGTGGTCGTGGTTGGTGTGGTGCGCTGCGCGGTACCCGTAGCGCTGCACGCGGCGGGCGAGGCGCGCCCCCCAGCGGCGTTGTCGCCAGTGCTGTGAGTGGGTCAGTAGCGCGAGTTACCTGGGCGAGAGCTTGGTGTGGTCGTGGTTGGTGTGGTGCGCTGCGCGGTACCCGTAGCGCTGCACGCGGCGGGCGAGGCGCGCCCCCCAGCGGCGTTGTCGCCAGTGCTGTGAGTGGGTCAGTAGCGCGAGTTACCTGGGCGAGAGCTTGGTGTGGTCGTGGTTGGTGTGGTGCGCTGCGCGGTACCCGTAGCGCTGCACGCGGCGGGCGAGGCGCGCCCCCCAGCGGCGTTGTCGCCAGTGCTGTGAGTGGGTCAGTAGCGCGAGTTACCTGGGCGAGAGCTTGGTGTGGTCGTGGTTGGTGTGGTGCGCTGCGCGGTACCTGTAGCGCTGCACGCGGCGGGCGAGGCGCGCCCCCCAGCGGCGTTGTCGCCAGTGCTGTGAGTGGGTCAGTAGCGCGAGTTACCTGGGCGAGAGCTTGGTGTGGTCGTGGTTGGTGTGGTGAGCTGCGCGGTACCCGTAGCGCTGCACGCGGCGGGCGAGGCGCGCCCCCCCAGCGGCGTTGTCGCCAGTGCTGTGAGTGGGTCAGTAGCGCGAGTTACCTGGGCGAGAGCTTGGTGTGGTCGTGGTTGGTGTGATGCGCTGCGCGGTACCCGTAGCGCTGCACGCGGCGGGCGAGGCGCGCCCCCCAGCGGCGTTGTCGCCAGTGCTGTGAGTGGGTCAGTAGCGCGAGTTACCTGGGCGAGAGCTTGGTGTGGTCGTGGTTGGTGTGGTGCGCTGCGCGGTACCCGTAGCGCTGCACGCGGCGGGCGAGGCGCGCCCCCCAGCGGCGTTGTCGCCAGTGCTGTGAGTGGGTCAGTAGCGCGAGTTACCTGGGCGAGAGCTTGGTGTGGTCGTGGTTGGTGTGGTGCGCTGCGCGGTACCCGTAGCGCTGCACGCGGCGGGCGAGGCGCGCCCCCCAGCGGCGTTGTCGCCAGTGCTGTGAGTGGGTCAGTAGCGCGAGTTACCTGGGCGAGAGCTTGGTGTGGTCGTGGTTGGTGTGGTGCGCTGCGCGGTACCCGTAGCGCTGCACGCGGCGGGCGAGGCGCGCCCCCCAGCGGCGTTGTCGCCAGTGCTGTGAGTGGGTCAGTAGCGCGAGTTACCTGGGCGAGAGCTTGGTGTGGTCGTGGTTGGTGTGGTGCGCTGCGCGGTACCCGTAGCGCTGCACGCGGCGGGCGAGGCGCGCCACCCAGCGGCGTTGGTCGCCGGCGGCTGGCGCTAGTAGCAGGAGCTCGCGTGCGCGATCCGCGTGGAGCTTGCAAGCAGCCACACCATCGCCTTCGGACACGTGCTCTGCATGGATCTTCATGCGGCATCCTGCAACAATAAATCAATAAAATTTAGACTTGTGGATTTAAAAAGTCACATTAATACATGTCAAATATTATAATAGTGACATGGAATTTAAAAAAAGTTTGACATTTAAATTTAATTAATTTGAGATAATAATGTAAATTGGGTTTATTCGCAACATGTAAAGCGGGCGCAGTGTGCATTTTGCAGAATGTCTAATATTAATCTGGCAAATGCCAGAACCGAACCGCTTGGATGTAGTAGTTGAACCAATTCCACTAGCTTGCAGAAAATGAAAAGGTAGGTTAGGTTAGTATTCGGGACGGTGACGGTGCCACCATTGCGAGTCCAGCGGGACTTCGCCCAGTACACGCAGCCGAGCGCGGTAGCAGTCGGTGAGTGTCAGAACCGAACTGCTTGCTTTGAACTAATTCCGTTCTCTATGTCTGTTTGTAATGTCAAAATAATAGGTTTTTTTTATGCTTACACGGTTATTTGCATGAGTTATTTTTAACTGTACCGGTCATTACAAACATTTTGTCATGTTACTAAGAAAGGCATGTATCTATGCCCCGTAAAGAAGCAAAGACCGAGATGAGCGACAATATCTCAGTATTTCTTACACGTCAGCAGCGTGCTTCAAATACATAAATATTCATCAGCCATACCTATAAAGGAGATGTCCACATTTTGTACGCTCCTTGGTGTTTTTATTCCGAGTAAAATCCATTATGGCTCAAACTACACACAGTCAAATTATAGCAGCTAAAATTAGGAAATGGGATCATTTAGATGACAATTTTTAAATCCTTTATTTAAAAGAAAAACTGAAAGTTATTTTATGTTAGTAGATATTTTTATTGGAGGATGGCAATACTAAATATACTTTATAATTTTGTTATTCACAAGATAAATCATTGGTAGGTAATGCTTTTCGCTTAAACATGACGTAGTCTATCAATTTCTTTTTGTATTTGTAGAAATTTCTCAATTTTTCTTACCATAGTAAACCCCTATGGGCTAAAAACTTGGAATTGGTTGGACAGATCGGACCTAATCAAACCTATCACCGCCAGCATTGATCGCGGCAATGCAGGCGGTGATGGGCAGCCACGGTCTCTTTCTGCGAGGACGTTATGCTCCAGAAGGGGGCCGCGGAGCGGGATCGTTTAATTATTTTTTTTAGGCAAAGGTAGCAAAAGTTATGTTCGTATCTACCCTAAAAATATACCAAAGTAAAATAATGTTTTCTCAAAATTGCAGTTATTGAACATTTCATTTTCTAAATTATGATATTAGTTCTTAGGAAATCTATCCAAAAAAAAAATACTTTTTTTCAAGATTTTTTTTTAAGAATAAAAGAACATTACTGAATAACGCCTTTGTGACATTCAAATTCAAATTTGTGAGTCAAAATATGGTTGTGTACTGCATAGTCTAGCTTTAATTGCTAGCAGTATTGTCGGTAAGTATATTGCAGCCATTAATTGTTGTAAGAGTATTATTGCCTGTTTAGACGCACCCAACGACAAAGTAAAGGGGTGTAAGTTGGACAAGTACACTCACGTCGACACTCGTAGGCCTGCGGCGGACGGAACATGTGCCAGAGCGGGCGCGTGCACACCTCGCAGGCCGTGGGGATGTGGTACGTGATGCTCACCAGGTCGTGGCCCTTGTGCTGCACCGTGTTGCCTGCGTGCAAACGTACGTGATATACTTGTGCAATCATATACTTACATTATTGCATATTTAGCCACTGTGGATAGGCTGCTTGCCTGCGGTTAAAATTAATTGTTTTATTAAATTTGTTATTATTTAAGTTACAAATTAGATTTTTAACTGAAAACTAAACAATGATTTGACAGTAACAGGGTATGTCATAAATACTTATTTTATAAAAAATTCTATACATCGTTATTGCAGACTATAGAAACAAAAAAGATGCGTTTTAATTTTAGAAGTAAAATATATTTATTAGAAAGTTTATTTAGATTTAAAGAGTCAATATATTAACTTTAGTCATAATATGCTTCTTTAAAATAGCATATGATATACGTAAGTGAAATGTTTTGGTACCTCAGCAGATATTAATTATTTATATATGCTGAAGATAAATATAATTTACTTATTTCTTTAACACTTAAGTAATGAGTAAATATAACATAAAATTACTTGCCCTGACTGATTGACAAAGGGGTATGCTGTAAGCAGTGGGTGCAGAAAAGTCTAAATTCCTAAGGGGGTAAAATAAGGGCTGAACAGTCATATGGAAATTCGTCATTTTCAAAGTTAGAAATAAGAAACAATCACGCGAGCTAAGTCGCAGGCAATAGCTAGTATTATTATAATAGTAATGGAGCCCTTCCGGTATTGCCAGTATTATTCTAATAGTAAGGGATTTCGGGCTTTACTCGAGCGTGTCAGATTACCATAGGAGGAATACCTTACATCCAGTGGAGTACCTCCACCATACATGAGTCATACATATATGAGGAGCGTCTAGGACAGCGCATCAGATTAGTTTAAAAAAATCGATGGTAAGAAATACTCGAATGTGTAATTTGGGTTAATTACATACAAAGTCACAAAGTTCCAAAAAAACACATGAGCTTGAGTTTTTTATTTTCAAGCAAACAATGCAAGAAATCTTATTTAAATGTCTACATAAGTTTTCTTGCCTTTATTTGTCACATTTTGTAATAAAAAAAGATTTCCAACCGTCAGATTTAAAATACCCTGCGAAAATATCGGGTATAACACACGCTCGGGTATTTCGAAAGGGCAATTTTTCGAATTTGTGATTAGTTTGCATTTTAGGCATCTTAATAGCATATCCCCAAAATATCTGATGCACCCGAAAACATATTTTTTTAGATTTTTGAAATTGAATTTTTGAAAAAAAAAGCTTTTCCTACTGCTAAAGGGGAAACATTATTTAACTATTAGTCATTCTATTATCTAAACTTTGAAATGCAATAGGTCCCATTGACGCTCCAGTAAATCGCAATTTAGCATCACAGGCTCCCTTACTATAATTCGATAAGACTTTAACAATGATATTTAGTAACATACTGATAAATACCTTAACTTTATTTGATTATGATTCGGTATTTAATTCAAATGAGACAGAGTACTTCATCATCATCATCTACAGCCTTTAATAGTCCACTAGTGGACATAGGCCTCTCCTTAGAAAGGAGGTTTAGGATAGTACTTACCCCTATCTAAATATAAGGTAGTTAGAGAGTATGGTTTTTTTGGCTTCTCATAAGGCTCAACCCCTTGGAAACGGGCGGTTGTAGATCAGCATAGACATATAAGGGATCAACCTAGTTTTTCTAACCATTTGACAAAAAAGATTGTTGCTATTGTTTGTGATCTATGACTTTAGAGCCTAAGGCGCGAAATACACACAAACGGCGTAAGGCATAAGGCGCGGCGCAGGCGTGGAACGGATACGGCACGGACGCGATTGAAATTATATAGAAGAGGCGAAGAGACGTCACGATGCGTCATTATACAGGCTGATTTCGTTTGGTTCCCCGGCTATTAGTGCCCGAGACGGCGTGCGGTTTTAGTCGGTTCGAGTCCGACATGCCACCGACATCCGAGGGGATTTCCGCACGGAAAAAAAAAAAAAAAAAAAGGCTGATTTCGTTGCGATAGCATGTCTTCCTCTTCAGATGACGAAGATGCGCTTGCTTTGCTGCAACTCATTAATGTGCAGAGGCACAGAAGATATTGGATCCACCCCGTGTGGAAATTATCAGAAGAGCATAGATATTTTAAAATAATGGAAAGATTACATGAATATCCTGATCGTTTTCGCACAGTGTATAAAATGTCACAAGAATGTTTCCATATTATATTGTCAAAAGTGAAACACGGTCTTCAGAAACAGCATACACATTGGAGAGAACCAGTCTGTGCTGAAGAAAGACTATTGATAACTATTAGATTACTAGATATTTAATCCTATTTCACTCCATAATTTATCTTGTACATTTCTATTACTGTACTCCGGCTTGCTAAAGTCGTAAAGTCGGATATTGTTGGACAATTTCGCAGAACTGTATATTATATTCTATACCATCACGCATTTTTGTTGCTGATAAATAATAGTCGTCCCATATAGCAAGCGACGTGCTCCTTGCGTGACGTTTCAGTTGTGACTGCTAGCGGCGCGACGCAGGCGTGCCTGTGCCGCGCAGCTTGAGTGTAATTCATAATACGTCTCCGTAATACATTTTGTATGCAAAAGTTTTGAAGCGGCGTCGTGCCTGCGCCGCGCCGAACTCCTCGCCGTTTGTGTGTATTTCGCGCCTAAGACGATTTCAAACACTTTTATATGAAATAAAGATATTTAGGGTGTGAGTTTGAGCAGTGTGAGTGCGAGGTACAGACCGTGGTGGTCCGTGGCGTCGGGCGGCGCGTCGGCGGAGTCCCCGGGGCGGCGCGCCTCGCCCTCGCCGGCGTACAGCAGCTGGAAGATGCGCGGGATGTCCTTGGCCTCCGCGCGGATCACGTCGCCCTGAGTCACCGACCGCACGTGGAACACCTTGCTGCACACGCACGACACGTTCATGCTCGTTAACCATGGATTATTTCTAATACGACTTATATTATCATAACATTACTGAGATTAAATGTTGAGTCAAGGCAATTGCACTTCAAATGTGAGTTGGAATGGCAACCGGATGTCGAGTGATAATCTAGGCTTTGGAGTGGTACAGTGGTAGTACCACTCCCATCGGCCGAATCGACCCCAAGTGGACTGGAGCGGTGACATGAGGGTGGGGCAAAAATATTATTCTTATAACGAAGCAACCGGATAAAAATGCGGTTGCTTGAAAGGTACCCTAAGATACCCTAATTATATAATTGAAAAAAATGCCAGCCCTTTATTTATAAAGGTGGAAAAAAAAATAACTCACCTCAAGTCTAAGATCATAACAGGATCCGTGGTGTTCTGTTTATCATTTTCACTATTGTAGAATATAATCTTTTTCGAAGACACTACGACGTATTGTTTCTTCCAACCGTGTCGACGTATGTTTTGTTTGAAGGGGATGGAGAGCCAGCCCTCGAGGGTTTGTTCCGTCTCGCCGTCCTCAGCGTCGGCGGATGATTGTGACGCTGTCTCACTCGTTAGGGCTGCCAGTTTTTCCTTTAGTTGCTCGATTTCTGCGTCTTTGCTATCCACCTAAAACATTAATATAGTCGTGGTAATGTAATGCCATTTACAGTCCTCATATAACAGATAGCAGGCCTATTCACATTAACCAGGTACTTTTACCTACATTTCCCTTACAACAGAAAAAAATGGACTGAGAACTATAATCAATAGCTAGAGCAGGTCAGACCTGCATACATACATACATACATTTGAGAGGCTTTGCTTCTAATATATTGATTTACGTGAATGTAATACTACCTCCATAGCAAGTCGCATCCGCGTGGATTGTTCATCGAGGAGTTGCTGTTGACAATCTTGTAGATCGCGTTGCAGCTTTAGGATGTGCTGATCAAACTTTTCCTTTTCACGAGTCAACTCTTGCTGCAGCTTACGATAGTCCTTGTCCTTGCGAACGGACTTATTTTTGGTCTTGGCAGTGGCGAGATTCATGTCTTTTCTGTAAATTGAAATATTAGAAACATTATCTGAGTAAAATTACGTCTACACGGTTAAAATTGCTTTCATCTATTAACACAAGACTCTAAGCCAGGATAAAACTATGTTTCGTTCAAGGATTATTTAGAAACAAATGAGTAGAGCGTGCCACAAATACAAATTATTAATAAATATATTGAATTAACATGATGTCGTCAAATTCTCTTTCACGCGATTATAAGAATTTTTGCATGCCAGCATCGGTAAACCATCTGAGTGCACATTGTTATTATATATTACGTTCATGAGAATTAAAATTGTATTCGAGTGACAAATCAGCAGCTGTTATGTTCCTCCTTACTCGGAAGCTCTTTCGACGACTACTAAGTAAAACATATACTGCACGGATGGCGTAGTGGGTTAAGCGGTCACCATGCCGCTTACTACTACTACGCTGAGTGTTGTGGGTTCGATCCCCACATGGGACGACACTTTGTGCGATCCACAAATTGCAGTTCTGAGTATGGATGTTCTTTGTATCCGTTTTATATATATTCGTAAAGTCCCCCGCGACACAGGACATATTTCTAATGCGGAAGTTGTTTTTTATTTTAAAAAAAAATATATTCTGAAGTTACCTATTCATAATCTCAGCAAGTTTGTTGACCGCCTGCTGTTTGAGCATCGTCTCCGACTTGACCTTCTTGTTGAGCCGGTCGACCTCCTCTTGCAGACGCTGCAACGTCGCTACGCGTTCTGCTAGAGCTGTACCACTACGACGTAGCTCATCGGCCTCCTACAAATGAAACATATATTTTTAACGTTTTTGTTATAAATCAATAATATAATAGAGGAACTTATATAAATTGGTAACTTTTCATGTTAAAGGCACGGCTAAACTAGTCAAAGAATAGAAATAGGCCACCACAGATAGGTACACAGTACGTGGAACTTGACTGAGCTTCACTGATGACCTGAAGAAGGTAGTTAAGAGGAACTGAATGGGGAAGGCGATAGTGCTATGCATCGGAAAATACTTGCGTCCAGCAGTGGACTCAGAGTATGTTTGAATGACTGATAAACATTAATACAACATTTAAAAGTCACTTCTTGTTTGTAAATAAAAAGGTTCCGATTAGGATTAATTTCATCTACCTAGTGGTAGTATTATTCTAAAAAACATATGTATTATGGAGAAAATGACACAGGAGCTTCAGCAAGGCTCAAGTATAGGCACTGTTTGAATATTTGGAAGGACTATCGATGACGTAACAAAAATTCCGGTAGTAGTAATAGGATTTATTACTGGTGTGAGCTAACATAACGAGACCGTTAGCCCGAACTGTTCGAATTTGTGAGTGACGTGCACTTGGTGACAAAACAAAAGAAAGGAAAGGAGGTCAAGTGATTCGGTAGTGCGTCAAAAATGCTCTAAGAACACAACACGTAAATTGTATCACGTGTGAAATCGTAATAACAGTTAGATTTGATTCGTATTTATGTACTTACATATGTTTATGAGAAGTAATACCTATGATTATTATATTTAAATATTTCTTATTTACAGATGCATATATAATTCAATAATTGATCAATTAGTTTTACAGAATAAAGTTTTATTTTATTTATGGCAGCTTTTGTAAATATTTTCCATAATGGAATGTTTTTATTACTCATTAAATAGGTACAAATTGGACGCGTACAATAACATATTATTAGTAAATTTTGTTATATTAACCACTATTTGAATCAAGAAGGGGCGTTCATCAGTGGCCTCTGCGCTTTTGGAAGGAGCTTAGTTGGCTCACCTAGCCAACCTTTCCTCGACGCATAAAGGACCATTCTTGAGTCTAAAAGCGGAAACTGGAGCCAACAACCAATACTTATACCACTATTTGAATTTGATGTACAAGTTTTAATAATAACACATAGATGTTTTTATGGTACCGGAGGGCAAACCAGCAGACGGATAATCGGAAGGTACGTCACTACTATTAAATATTAGTTTAAGAAAATTATAACACTTTTCTATAGTAAGTGTGCGCAAAGATCGAGTTGGAGGCGTTAACTAAAGAAGGTTGTTAGCTAAAAAATCGAGGTTTCTAGCCTAGTTCAGCAACAGATGCTAATAACGAACACAAATTGTCTGTCCAGAAACATTTAACAACCATAAACTATGTGAATGAGTATACATATGTTACACAGTGTTACACAGTGAAACAAAACACTCATTCATTCATCACTCCGGTAGAGCCGGCTCATATGTTAAATCGTAACTAGTAGATATTATTGATTAATTTAATAGTAGTTATTATAATAGCGTTATGTGGTTCACCTTCCGTTGCAGGTCGATGGTGGCGCGGTTCTCGTGGTCACGGTCCTGCAGCCCCTGTACGAGCGCGTCGCGCGCGGCCAGCTCGCTTCGGTGCTGCGCGGCCGCGTCGCGCATTTCCAACTCCTTCATCGTCTTCTCCTTTTCCAGCTCTCCTACCGTCTCTTCGGCTATTGATCTGGAATATACAGCGACATAAAAATACTTACTCAATAGATAAAACATAAATTAACGACCAATTAGTCTTCATTAATGGTTAAATCAGTTTTATTCTACATATTTACGTCGATTTTCATCTTTAAATAGGTACTTCATTGCCACCAAATGAAATGTAATCTCCTAATGAAAGCCTATCGTCGTCGACTGCTGAACGAAGTCCTCCCCCCAAGGAGCAAATATAGTATTTCATATTACTCATGAATCAATTTGCTCTTAAAATCTTAATTTATTACCTTTTTAAATGTCCGTACTGGTACTATCGTATCTGAATAAACTTACAGTTCATACTTTAACATTTCTATTAATTTAACAATCTTGTAACATTATGTAGTACTATTAGCGTTTTTCGTTTATTTTTCTTCACAAACTAAATAAATGTACAAGAATCGACTTACTAATTTTTAATACAAATCTTGTAACAATTAATAATGAATTAATTATTATAAAATAAAAAGATAGTCTTGAGAATTCGGAAATTAAATAATATATGGTATTGATATTACGATTATTGTGTCAGATTGTGTTCTCACATCAACATCCATACATGCAATCTTAAGTGGAAACCAGAAGGAGTACGAGACTTTACAGAAGTGTCAGAAGCAAACAAAAAAAGCTCACCTGGCAATGGCTTCAGAGTCAGCTCTCGCAATGGCGAGCTGCAGCTGATGCAGTAAACTGGAGCGTTCCTGCTCCGCGTCGCAAGCAGCTCGCGTGTTCTCATCGAGCATCAGCCGCAAGTCATTGGCCTGACTCTTGTACATGAAGCAGTAGTGTTGCTCCGTCTCTAACTGGAGGCGAAGCTCCTCACTCTGTTGATAGAAATTAATATTATCAGTAAATTGAAGTTATGATTTTTGTTTTTATTTATATTTGACCTTTATTATATTACTTAGATCGCTAAGGAGTACATAAAAACTAAATACTCTGATCGCTACAATTTCACTAGCTACCGTATACTTAATTACCATCTTAGTGGTTAATAAATAATACATAATGACAGAAATTTATTTAGTGTATTGGAACCGCACAGATAGATACACGCACGTACGTATACACTAATCATATAATTTGAATATTACACAAGAAACTTATTATACTAATAATGTATAAGTTATAACAAGTTATAAACGTGTTGCGTTTTCTCGACAGCGACGACGCATGATTCATATATTTTATTGTATGTCTGACATAATATCGGTTCTATGACACGATTTCACGATTATCATAGGTACCTTTTTCTCTTCTGTTTGTCAATGGCTCTTTCTTTTTTGTGTAGTAGGTAGCTAGTCGCAAGGATTAGTGTTAAGGGTTAATGGTAAGTTACTAATATCTTCCAACGTGGCTGCTATACTACTATGGAGGTATAACCATAATAAAAATTAAACTCACTCACTTAAGACATTCCAAACCGGTAAGGCTCAGTAAATTTCTGCTACAATTAGAGATCCGGCAGAGAAGTACATCTACCAACTGAATTAGGGCTACTGTCTAAAGACCTCTGTATCATGTGTAAAATCTTATTAAGGCCTTTTAATATGCTTTTATTTACATATTATAAAATAGATTATAAAATTATATTTAACTACAATAAACTAAACCTAGACCCCGTGCGCACAGCGATATTTCACCGCGCGTTAATTTTGTCGCAAAATAAATTGCCACCGTATCGCGCCATCTTGTATCAAATCAGATTTTTCCTATTTATAGTCCCATATAGACGCCATGACAAATATCGCTGTGCGAACAAATACTTAATAGACAAACGCCATGATTTAAACACACCACATACTAGTAAACATCGAGAATCAACGTTTCCAATATTAACTTTGCAATAGTGGACAACATTTAATTAGTTGTCTATTGGTGATTTAGATTTATTTAATAAGTACAGTTTACCACATCATGAAGAATCTACATACAAATTACGTATTTAACGATCGTATTCATACTTGAACGTTTATTAAAGACGTTTTATTGTACGACGATGTAGTCCCACTTGATGATGACCAGGAAATTAACACGACAATAACATACATACATTCCTGTATATTAATACGTTTCATGATCATAATGACAATATTTTATACGCATGTCTTCATTGCCAAGGCTCTGTTTGCACAGCACTTGAATTCAAAAAAAAAACACTGATTCAGCCGTCGTTATTATAATAAATAGTGGTGGCTGAATTTTTCCTAAAGACGAGATATTGCAAAATAAAAAATTGTTTAAAAAGTTACATAATTATGTACTGTAACTTGTAGGCATTTGTTTGATAAAACGCTTTAATTTAAAATCTACTTGTTTGATTATGTTCAACAGCCTTTAATTTGGCAATTAATTAAATAAGCTAGTTATCATGACGCTACGCCCCATAGAAGAGCAGGGGAGATATACTACACCCACAACACCATACTAAATTACTTTTTACCTATAATAAGCAAAATAATCAAGTTAAATATCAACTTCGTAAAGAAAAAAATATAACCTAAACATTGTTTAATTTATTTTATGTTCCAGTATTCATCAGTTTATCACCGGTCGTATTAGATAAGGCACCGAATTTGAAATCAGAAGGATGAACGGTACTTTATCTAGTAAACTGCCGACTCCTTAAGACAAACATTTAAGCTCAGTTAAAGCGTTTCCAGGAGCTTAAGCGATTTTTTGCAAAGAGAAACCTAAACGTCTAATTGTTTATTTACAAGAAGTATCAAGGCCCTAGTCTTTTCAATTTTAAATAAGTAGAAAGTGCAATATTCTTCAGTTTCTAGTTGGTCATAAATAGAAATACACACCTCGAAAACAAAGTTTAATCTGTAGACGCAATCTTAAATGTGAATCTAAAATTTGTGTCATAAATATCAAGGTCAAAGAAGAATACCTACTTTTCATACTTGGGTAACTCGTGCGACTAGCGGTATGAGAATGTAATAAAATTTATTTATTCATATTATTATATCTCGAAATATACAGTAAGTACCAAACTATGTCCTCAATTATACGCCTGTACTTTATGATAAATACCCGTGTTACAATTTGATAAAGTTTTCATTTCAGTTCTCAGCGGTCATTTTAACTATTGTGACATTAATTAATCTCTTGATTCTGTGATCTTAATTTATGTATAGTAGCCTAACTCCTCCTTGATTGAGTCCATTGACCACGTAAAACATGATATAGTATACATAAAACGTCAACTGTAAAGTTTATTCCATGAACTTTAATGAACACAATATTCTATTAATTGAGCAATCACATCATTATCAATGAGTAAGGCATTCAGCTGTAGAAAAACCACCGTCTACATAATCATGTGTTTATTTATTTGGAGGCAAGCGCGCTCAACGTACGCGCAGGTATATGGCAAAATATCTGTGTGTGTGCATATTTGACATCAACAATGAGTCACTATGTTGTAATGCCGGAGGACAGTCTATTTCGGCACGATGAGATTATGATTAATTCACAAGAAACAGTCAAAGAGCTCGTTAAGTTTGCTATCGACATAACCATAAACACATACTATTACATACGTTTACAACTCGATAAGTACTCATCGCTTGCATTTTACTGTGTCCTTAGGTCGTCGACAGCCACGAGATAAACTCTCTCAAAGATTAGGAAAAACGCAAATACTAGTTATTGCAATTAAAAGAATATGTAAAAGCACTTACCCTCTCACGATGCATGTCCCGCTCGGCGCTGGCAGCGGCCAGCTTCTCCGAAGTGTCGAGGAGCGCGGCACGGACAGCCTGCAGGTCGCGAGCCCTCGCGTCTCGTTCGGCCTGCGCCGCCCGAGCCGCGGCTTCGGCCGCTGCTACTTCGCTGCTCACAGATAGCCTAGCAGCTCGCTCCTGCTCTAGCGCAGCAGCCAAACCCACCGCCTATTTTGTTTTTAAAAATTAGCAAGGCCTGCTGGTACATCCGTTATAAACAGTACAAAAAAAAGTAAACTTTTATTAACATAGAATTATGTCAATTTACATATATCTGTGTTATGGTACAATTTTGGGACTGACGGCGAATAATTTATTCATGAGTTTATCAATAGTTTAGAACATATCAAATAAATATTCGTATAAAAAGATCGAAACCATACTCAGTAAGGTGAAAACTAATCCATTAATCCAATGCATGGTCTATGCCGTAACATTGTACAAAATAAGAGAATTTTAAACTTTGTTATTAGATAAGTATATGGTTTTAAGATATGAGCCAAGTAGCTACCTATCCAAATTCGTGAATAGGTTATGACAAACATATATGAGCAATTGACAACAACAAATAAGAAATTGACCTTTTCACTCTCTTGTCTATGTTCACCCTCCAGCTTCTGCAGGCGCTGCTGCATTTGCCTGTAATCGACGCTGAGCATTGACATCTGACGTTCCTTCTCCTGACAAGCTGATTCAGACCGTTGCCGCGCACCTTTTTCCTCATTTAATTTTGACTGCAGGGCTGTTGTGTTGTACCATAAACATAGACTTAATTAAATTTTCAGTACATTAATTTGCACAGAAAATAATCTCTATGAAAACCCTGAATATGTTAGTTATAAATACTATATATTAACATTGTATGCAAAAGTTAATAAATAAACTTGGACAACAACAAGACAACACGACAACACTTGGACAAGAACTTGTGATTTAAATCGACAGTGTCCATTCTAAAGTATTTTCAGTTTCGTCCACTCTCTATCCAGTCTACTAGTTCTAATGATCACGCAAAATTTAATTTGTCTTTTGTCACGCTCGTATCACCACGTATTTCTAACAGCATGTGTGTAATTTATGAAGACGTCCAAAATACTGAAAACTAGTCAATGCTAGTCAATGCTAGATTTTAGCAAAAAAAGAAGACAAGTTTATAATCGAGTATGTAACAAAAAGCAATGATTTGCATGAAAAGGGAAGGCTGACTTTAAACGGTATAGGTGCTAAGAAGAAGCACTGCTACATAATAGAGTGGACGATTTCATTTCTAAGGGTCATATTTGCAATTTGAACACCAAAAATGAAACTACGCTGGACCTATATAGATCGAAGGCGGTTAATTAGCAAACTGAACAATACCTTTAAATATCATTTCCAACGTTCCTGAGGCATGCAAAAAGTGAAGGTATGAAATATATTCTTGGGAGTTCATACATTTTAGCTGATTTCAATGAGAAAGGATAATAGCATGATGCACATGATATACGGTCATACGAGAAAATGTAACGATAAGACTTACCCTTGACTAGCTCCAAGTTAGCTTCTTGTTTAGAGAGCAATTGTGATCGCTGCGTGTCTTGGTGAGCACGCAATTCTTGCTGGTAAAGGTGTTGAGCGGCCCGAAGCTCATGCGCCAGTGAAGCACATTCCTTCTCTAATGACGAAACACGTTCTGAAAGCTGCCTATTATCTGCCACGGTTTGGTTCAGCCTCGTCGCCGCTCTCTCGAGCTCAGCGTGGGCCGCATTTAATCTGTTGGTCGATTCTGCAACAGATGCTTCTGACCGTTGCTTAGCTGCCTTAGTAACAGCCAGTTCTTCAGTAAGTGTGCAGCGTTCTCTTTCCAGCGCGTCACGTTGAGCACGCAAGCTCGCAACGGTGCCGTCGTTGACCGCAGCAGCTGCAGCTTGAGCAGCTGTAAGTTCTGCTGCTTGCTTTCTGGATTTCGCGGCAGCTTCTGCTTCTTGTTTTAATTTTTCTCGCATCTCGGTAAGCTGCATTTCCAAGACATTAATTTTATCGTTGTAATTTTGCAAATTGCTTATTTCTTTTGCTCGTTTACTTTGTTCTTCATCGAGTCGTCGCTTAGCTTCGTTAAAATTAAATTCTGCTTTTCTTCTTGTTTCTGCTTCCACGTCTGCTTTCCTCTGTAATTCCTTCAAATCGTGTCTAAGTAGCGCAAGCTCTTTGTCAGTATCGGCAATTACTTTTTTGTGCCTGGCATCTCTTTGTGACAGTTCTTCTAATTGTGCACACAAAGTCACTTGTGTATCCTCTAATTTTCGCCTCCCATCTCTTTCACGCTCAAGTAGTTTTTCTAGCTGCAATATAGCTTCAGATCCAACATTAAGGTTATTAACATGATTATTAGATATTGTGTCAACTACATCTGCAGCCTTTAGCCCCCTGCTACACAATTGGTAATCACCATTATAAGTGAATCCTACAAAAGGTAAATGATTGCCAACAAATGCTTTTGGCACTGGAAAAGACTCATCTAGTGCATCTGACTTCTCCATGTCATCAAAATTTCGAGTATCATCATCACTAGATAGTTCAGGTACAACAGGGGGCACAGAATCTCTCAAGTTTTCAAAGCTCCACTGATCATTGATAAAGAAAGGATGTTGCTTGATTTCATCAACACTATTCTTCCCTAGTCGCTTAGTTCTATCAGTTAAAAGTCCTCTAATAAGAGATTTGGCTTCCTTTGAAATTTCTACATCATCAGGAAACTGAAGCGAGTTCCTGTGATCCATAATTTTTCCATATGTTCCTACTAAACTGTCAGCATAAAAAGGCGGATCTCCAATCAGCATCTCATACAAGAATATACCCACAGCCCACCAGTCACACTCTCGCCCATATACCCCTTCACCGTTTTGTGACTGTAGTACCTCAGGGGATATATAATCTGGAGTACCCACTGCATTGCTGGCTCTTACAAGTCCATCAATCCCCATTCTCATACATGTGCCAAAATCAGCTAGTTTAAGATGACCATATTTATCAATCAACATATTATCTGGTTTTACATCACGGTGTACAAATCCCATACCATGAATTACATCTAAAGCAAGAACAATTTCCATTGTATAGAATTTAGCCCATTTTTCTGGTATGTCATAGTTTGACATTAAACTGACAAGATCTCCACCAGGCATGTAGTCCATCACCATGTAAAGATATTTGTGATCTTGAAAGGCAAAGTGCAATTTTAATATCCACTCAGAGTTAGCATGTGCCATTATATGTCGCTCTTCCCAAAAGAATGTTGAGTCAGATCTTTTGATCATTTCCACTTTACTGAGTAGCTTCATGGCATAAACCTGGCGTGTAGACTTATGTCTGACTAGTTGCACTTCACCAAATGCACCACGACCAATAACTTTGATCAAATCAAAATCGGCTGCTTTCATGCGCAGGTCTATTATGTCCGAGGCAAAAACCTCATCTAGAACAAAATAAAAATTAAATATAAATGCTATTTTCAGAATGCTTATAGATCAGGGCAGACAACAGAGGGGTCGGCACGGCAGGGTCGCATGCGCCGCTGAAATGTACATGCAATAAAGAATTAAAGAATCTTAAAGGAATTCCCCTTTATAAGGTTTACCTTTTATATAAGGTTACGGTAAGGTTATATAAGGTTTACCAGTAAATTAAAAATTAAAGGTACCCAAAAAAAAACAGATATTAAAACAACACTCAGAAAAGTAAAAAAACATCTAGAAGAAAGATCAAGGCATTGAGAACTAAAAATTGGATCTGGATATGTCCAAATTAAAATGATGGAAGAGAAGAAAGAGCTAAGACAACACACATCTCAAATTGTATTTATCACAAATTACTATAAAAAATATTTAATTAAAAAATAAAAAGATGCTAAATCGAAGATTTCAACATGTAGTAAAAACTGGCCTTAAAAAATTGACAATGATTATATTTTGATATTAAATCTCTTATTTGTATATATATTTTTTTTATATTTCATTATATTTAGCCTAAATATTTTTGTAACTACTTGTAACTTGTTGAAAGAATCTGTGATATTTAACCTCTATGTTTTAACATCCACATTATTCAACATTATTTATGAATTGAATGTAATGATTTTGTCCATAATTATACTACTAAGGTAGCAAAACAATTAGCTCAAGTTAGTGATTTTTTAAGAAAGGACATAGTATAATGCTCTACTTTAAAGAGTTGGTAATAAGTAAAAAGGGCCCTAATAGAGACTGATATTAAGGTGTTTATATCTATTATTATCTGTCAGATAGTCATTATGCTATACAAGCAACTAAGTATACGAATACTTAAGTACAAGTTGTAAGAAACAACTTTGACATAAGTAGTAACACAACTAAGAAGACAAGTTATAAATCATAAAGAACTTGTGTGTAGTTCCCTCAAATGCCTAGTGCAAGTAAAGAGCTACAAACATAAGATCTAAATTACTATTTTTTAATACTAATATTTGGGCCTACTGTCATATAGAAAAGAAAACTTATGACTTATAGCAGGTATTTTCAGAAGAGATTAATGCCTTGTATTTTAAACTGTTCATATTCAAAGAGATGTAGGTAGATTAGATATATTTAGGTACTAGCTGGTACCCACGACTTCTTTGCGACAAGCGCTGCCTTAGTGGGTTCGATTCCCATACTGGGACCCGTTCTGAGAGGAAAAATAGCGTAAGTTACTCTTTATATAGTCAGCTACCTGGTAGTAAAATATTAACGAAATAGGTCCAGCCTTTAGGAGATTACCCGGAACAAACAGACAGACAGACAGACAAAAAAATCTTAAACTGGTTTTTAGGCATAGGTATTGTGGCTAATAACCGCATGAGCATGAAAAAAAACTATTTTTACTTTTTATTGGTTTATAGAGATTATCAAAGGTAAGTATATATTACGGTAACTATACCAACCCATCTGGCCAGCGTGGAATAGTAGGCCAGAACCTCCTTTCTAAGGAGAGGCCTATGTCCAGCAGTGGACTATTAAAGGCTGTTAATGTGAAAAAAAAAAGTATATATTGTGCAAGTTATTCTCTAAACTAGTTTGTGAAATTGCAACACTTACTGAGATGACCCATTATATCACTGGTATATACAAAGTCTAATTAATTATCTAATCTCAATTTGATTGCCTAGTAAATTTTAATGACCATATTAGGTAGATAACTGATAATATAAACTAATAGCTTTCATAGTGCAAATATTAATTAGGTCATAGACAAAGATAAATGCCATCAAAATTCATTTTATTAAAGATCACAACCTTTTTTTTTAGATTTAGACCTTTCTCAACAGAACGGTGTCTTCTTTCTGAACAGAATGGTGGAACCACTGTGAGTGATAAGAGTGCTGTCTGAGAGTAAATTACGCTTGAGGAGTGTACAGCGTTGGTTGCAACCATGCCTCTTCGCATTAAAGCTGTCATTGAGAGCAAAGGCGACACAACTAAGTGGTAGACGAACTATTTTGCGTGAGTGACAAGGTTAGACAAATACTTTTGCATTATGTTTTTAGGAATATTTTTTAAATTTTTTATGAGATGTAAAGTAATGAAAGAATTTCAGTTATGTTAAAATAAACTTTAAAATGTTTCTCAAATTGTGGTTTACTTTTTATTAAACGTTCTTAATTATTTTACCAATATTTACTTTCTATACTTTACGCTTTGCACTACTTTCCATACTAGACGAACTATTTTGCATCGGGGCTCATATTAACAACTAAACAACTAACAACAAAAGTCTGGTTTAACTATGAATGGGTGTGCAGAACAGGTAAAACAGCATAATAAGATGGAGAAGAGACATTGAGAAGGTAAATTACTATTTAGTTCTTTATAGATAGTAATGATTCAAAATCATGTTAACAATTTATAATTTTCAGATAGTAAAATGCAGTATTGCGAACAAGCACATAATAACACAGAAGATACCACCCCTAGATAACACAAGTATATGAAAGGTATTTTCCATTTTGTGACATACACTTGATGTCCTTAGATCAGCTGTTGCTTTACTTGGTATATTATTTTGTAGAGTTTTTTGGCAATTTTACCTATTATTTTTACTCTAGCAAAACGGTCCAACTTCTACTTTCATCATAATGATAAAAGTATAAGTTTAAATAAAATAAAACAATGTTAATCATAGAGGAGTAAACAATAAAAGATTTGTATACAGTAAATAAACTGAGAATGTAATTGGTTATAAGCAGTGACTTTATATGATAATATCTATAATAAGTTGCTTATATCACAGTTAATTATTTAGTGACATCAAGAAAATTCTCGTAATAATTTTTTCTCTCAATTCAGTTCTGACCAATTTTCAATCTCACAACTGTCATAAAAAGTATTTTTGCAGTAAAGTTTTAAACATCCAACATTGACATGATTATATCATATTGTAACCGAAAATTAAATAGATAATCAGCCGGTCTTAGTAATACTTTAGTATTTTACTACTAAAACACCTTTTATGACAGTTGTGAGATCAATGGTTGATTGGAACTGAATTGAGACCAAACTTTTATTATGAGAATTGGCCTTCTGTTCACCTCACCTATAATTAGTTCTTACACATTCAGCGAAACAGCTGACAATGATACAATTCTTACTTTATTTGTTTTCATCATTTTTATATTGATCATTGGTGACATAAAACCAAAATGGTTTATTTCAGGGAAATAACTGTTATAGTGTGTTCTATGAAATATGATTGTGTTAATGCATATAAGGACAATATTTACAATTTATACAATCCAGCTATGTTTTGGGCTAAACCAAATAACGGAATGTTAGGATTCCAATAATTCAAATTAATGTTTTATAACAAAAATATAAATCTGTTTTGTTGCAATTATTCAGTAATAAAAAAAATACTTCTTGAATAGAATTTCATAGATATATAAAACAATGTCTCTGAGCTACTGACATCTCTTACATATACAAAATTTATGTATATTATATTTGTACATATTTTTTACATTATTTATGAATATATATATCTTTATGAATTATCAAACACAAAAAGTTTTGAAACATTCTTTTGGTTTAATTTACTAAACTTTTTTTAGAAGCAACTTAGGCATATTGAGTAAATAATTATCACACTCTCACTTACATTCATCAGTAGTAAAGTAACAAACATCATACTTTCTCAATCATATATTTTTTAAATAAGCTGATAAATAAACAAACATTTACAAAAGAAATTATGCAATTGTCACCAGATAGAGAGCCACACTAGCGATAAGAGCATCAATAGTTTACACCTGAGTCCAAATAACTTCAAATATAAATCACCTATACTAAGCCTACATACTGACTAGTAACAACTTACATACACATGCAAGCATGTTTATAATTAAAGTTTCAACACATATGATTAATGAATAGAATGTTATACTGTTTCACACAAGTCCCATGATAATTCAAAGAACAAATACAGATGTATCCACTTTATTTAGGCAGCGATGGGCCTGTTGGTTGAGTGGTTAGTGCCCCTGACTGCTAAGCCGGAGGTTGTGGGTTCGATTCCCACCCAGGACAAATATTGTGTGATGAGCATGATCATTTGTTCTGTATCTGGGTGTAATTTACCTATAATATGTATGTATTTAAAAATATATAAGTATGTTTATCAGCAGTCTGGTCACCATAGCACAGGCTCTGCCTAGTTTGGGATCAGATGGCCGTGTGTGAAATGTGTGAGGTATATTATTATTATTAATATTGTCATTGAGCAATGGAAGATTATTAAAGTTTAGGATGAAGCACAGCATTATTGACATCTAGTTATTATAGAAATTTAAAGGATATCACTTACATCTGCTGGCATAAGCTTCGACATTCTTCATTCGTCGAATAGCCGGGTGATCGCAGTCGGAGACCAGCGCAGTGACAGTGTCGAGTAAGCAGTCCACGTTGCCAGTGGATCGAGGGTCACACAGCCGCTCTTCCAAGGCGCGGAGCCGCCTCAAACGTTCTTCGTCCTTCACCGCATCCATACTTTATCCTATTTCTGACGTCCTCTGCCACTGAGGCTAAACGCCACCGCACATTCTCCCGTTGACTTCTGCGTGTGTGAACACCACTCTCATCACGACACATCAACTGATGTTTACTATTTTGTTATCCGTGTATCTTAGTTCAGACGAATGTCTACGAATCAAAGGACAACTTATATTTCATTATCGAAAAATTCAGTTACTACAGCTCAGAATGACAGCAGATAAAGGTGGTTCTCACAACAAAGCATATGCACATTTGCAAACACAACAAATTGTATATTTATATTTAAAAACATCCGCTGACTTTCAACTGATTAAGAACACTAAATTATCATAACGATTGGCACAAAATACGGAAAATAAAGTAGAATCACGAATTTTTCGACCGCTTGATTGATGAACGATGGATGATCGAACAATAAAGTGAAGTTAGGTGCAATTCGCTTAAGAATAGTTCAAAACAGTGTTACTAAAACTTTTAAGAAGAGAACGCACGGTTGATTTTGATCATGATCTTTGTTCCGAATTGAAAATATAGTCGTGAAACCCCATTAAATTATTAATATAATTACGTTACTACTCAAACATATAGAACACACATAACTATTATCTATTATAAAAAAATACTTTGACCCCAAGAACCTATTTTGTTGCTGTTGGCCAATACTTACATTACATTATAAAATATCTATTGGGTTGACATATAGAATTTGGCAGTCACAGTAATAAGTATATTATTTTACAGTTGTGTCTCGGTTAACTTCGGTTGCTTGATGAAACAATAACTTTTTGAAATGGTCTCACTAACGAAAATCTTTTATTTTAAATGAAAGAAAAAACTAAAAACTAAACTGTGAATCGGTGTTTCCAGATTTTAAGGAAAGAAACCTGTCAAATCAATTGGAATTATTCATTAATAAAAAATACGTCTAATTATTATTTAAACCAAACAAATATAAATTAAATAAACGGACTAGTTCAGTCGGTACGGTGGTAGTGATGTCGATTGTGGTTGCGAGTTTAATACCCGCTCAGACCAAGCTAACATTTATATTCATAGATACGTCTATTTGCATTAGTTTTAATGTATTATTACAGATTGCTTATTTACAAAAAAAAAGCTGAGGATCACATAAAGAAAATATAAATAGAGGAAGCGAATTGTACATACCTCTGTAAGTGGTAGCGTACGGCCTATAGATAGAGAAATATAACTATTTTGGTCTTTCATATCTCTTTAATCTCTTCAGTGATTGACTGCTGCTTTACCGTGTAAATAGTAATAGTTTTTATTGTAGAGGGATAATTCGTTAAAGAGATGCAAGCGGTGTTGCAGTGCAGCAGGCGTCCGACTTATTTCAAGATAAATAAAATTCGTAATGTATTATTTCAACATAAATTCTCGATTAATAAAAAGAATTGAGGATAAAAATACTGCTACACTGAAGAAGGCATTTAAAATAGACAATCAGTGACAAGAACAGAGAGAGATGCAAGACCAAAACAATCTTTTTTCTCTCTATAACAACCGTAAGCGATAGCGCCTTGTTCACGTCCTCTAACATTTATTAGCTATTTGAAGGATCATGAAAAAAGAGAAGAGGCTGGGATCGATGTCTCCGCTATTGGTGAGACATTCTCATGTCGCATGATATAGACAATCTAATTAAACAGCAATGTCATGCGAACTACCGTTATTTACACCGCGATCGTACACTACTTCTCTGTTAGTAACTTTAACCAGCAGTAGAAAAAAAAAATGTTTTTTTAAGAGATTCCTTTCATAGTCCACCATCAGATGTTTATTCCTATTTCAAGTCATGAGAAAAACAGGGCCCTGTTTTATAAAGCTGTCATTTCGACATAGGTATTTGTCTAAAAGTGACAAAATTGTAGAATTGTCGCGATTAGGGTGTTTAATAAAAGTGTCAACATGTCAAAAATCGACGGGTAAAATCTTGACATATTTGTCATTTAAAATGCGTTTAATAAATCTTGACATATGTCAAAAAACAATGATCGGTAACAATTGTTGAATTGTCGTGAGAATTGTGTCGACTTTTGACATATTTCAAAATATTTTATTTTTTGAAATATTAAATAATCAATCACTACTGTAACATCAGTTGTTTGGTTTGATCTGGAACGGAAAAATAAAAATAAACCCACGATATAAAAATAAAAAACGGAAGGAAATAGCCCAACAATTAACAGCATTAGTTATTTTCAAAAAATACTGGAGATACCTTCGTGACACTACATGGCTAAATTGGCGCAAAAGGACCATGGTAAGGTTTAGTTCATTTTAACTAGTTTATACGTCAGCAATTCGTAATTTTTTATTGTTTAGACTGTTCACCAACTTTAAATAAACAAGAAGAACCTTTATAGTGATGCTATCCTTTGTATTTTCATTGGTGTATTTTTTATTAGGCGTCATAAGCCACTTTTTTAAACTATATCCATTGTCACCCAAGATTAATACGTTTAGGAATAGTGTACATACACTTTCCCTAAATGAAAGAGCATCTCATCACTTCATACATCAAGGCCATTTTGCAGATGCGTAGAAAATTTCTAAGTTCGGCCCGCATATCAACATAGTATTAATTTAATGGTTTCCGTTTCTATCTTCAAACGCAAATTCATTTTGATAAGGCGCATTTAGAGGAATTAACGAACCGTTCACAATACAATATTCTAGGTTTCCCAACATGCCTCATGAAAAGTGTTGGTATTCGGTTACAATTATCAGGCCAGCAAACCTCTTCTCCAAGTAATTCCGTTGACCAATTTTACAAATAAACATTCTACGGAAGTTTCACATACTTACCTGAAATTTTTCTTTAAAGCAGAAATCTGTAATTGAGAAGAAGAAATTGTTTCTGCTTTTAAATTATCCTCTTTGCCTCCTCGTTTGTATTTGTTCCAAGTATTCATCATCCCTACTCATACTGCTCGATGTAAGTACAATTTATTGTAATAAAACTTTTATAAATACTTTCTTACACCTTTAAAATTCAAGATATGATTTCACGACAGAGGGTAACATTCCTGTCAGAATTGTCGGACAGTTCAATTCAATTCAATTAACACAATATGACAGGACAATTTTCTGTTTAATAAAGCAGATTTGGCAAGTTTTTCACGACAAATTGTCACCTGTCAAAAAGGTTTATAAAACAGAAAAATGTCTAATTGTCATATTTGTCAATTTCCTACCATGACAATTTTATCGCCTGTAAGTTTTTAAAACAGAAAAATTGTCGAATTGTGAAACGTTTTGAGATATGTCGGACTTGTCGGATTGTCAGCTTTATAAAACAGGGGCTTGGGAGTAGGTGTAGCATAACAACACATTAATATGTGGTAAATCATATGATTTCAATATCATTTCATAATTCTTATTATTACGGTGGTACAAGACTCGCAAAAGGTCAAAGCCGAGCACTGGGCCAAAATAATTTAAAGTGTTTCCATCGACACGATAAGAAGTCATAAGAGAGTAATTGTATGTTTGTTTAAAAAAATAAGTAGAGGGACCATTTTATTTGTCAAGGAGTACCGTAACCACATGTTGTTCTTCGTACTCCGTAATGCAAAAACCTTTTAGGCAAATCAGTTCACTCATCATTCTATACTACGCTTTATTTAGAAGCATTATTAGGTACTGCGTACTAGTTTCGACTCCAACTCCAATGTACAAAAATCATATAGACCATATAGAGTCAATACAAAGGCGGTTTGTCAGAGCTTGATGCATGAAATGAGGCTAAAGATGTAAAATGCGTGAATACAAAGCGTTACGTTGCGTTACTTTAATTTGGTCGGATTGTATAGGAGGAGATGGATGAGCGACATGTCCACTTTATATAAAATCTTAAATGGCTCATTTAATAGTATTCTCTTAACTCAGTTACACTTCAAGGAGCCTGCTCGATCTGTGCGTACTCTGCAGCTCTTACGTATACCAACATGCAATAAGAATGTGTCTCAAAATAATCGACTGTTTCGAATGTGTAGACAATATATTGAAATTTGTTTTCATGTTGATATATTTATCGATGGTCACAGCAGATTCATGTAATCCTTGCAAAAATTGAATGCGCCTTACCATATTCTCCATTAAAACTTGTTTTAGCTACATACTTATATTATTTTTATCATTTTTTTTTTGTTTTTTGTTTTGCTACTTGATCTGAATTCTCTTACTGTAAATAAATAAATACTATGTACCAGTTAAAATTTGTTAATCTGAACATAATACTCTTTTAGGTACTTTTTCATGAATAACTTCATCATCTAAACAATACTAGTAGCATTACCATGATTAGTGATGAATTCAGATGACTAGAATAATGTAATGGCACAAGTGCTAGTAAAATGTACACAATTAGTAAAAAAAATTACAATGTAGTAAATTATCATAGACAAAATTTAAGCGGAATGAATTTGCAAAAGATACTATGTGTCTATGTCAGTCATTCCCATTTTCCATTCTGTGTCTGTCCATTCATTCAATTTTGTTCATCGAATGGAACATGGCGGTGCTAGGCAGGATGTGCATAAGATTCTGATTTTTGCATTTATTATTGAATTGCTTAATAAAGTCAACTTTATATGTAATTTCTGTAAGATTTCATGTGTTATAACAATAGTTATTGTACTAAATCAATTTCATAGCAATAGTCTTTCGTCTAGACTTTTTGGTTCTGCAATGAAAATTATTATTCGTTGGTAGTGTAAAAATAATTGTGACAAATATATTACTTTGCCCCAGGTAAATTGTTATATGTAATAATGTATTTTGTAACTTAGCAGTATTTAAGTTAACAATCTCCTAATCTTAAGAAATACGACAGAATTAGTCAGTAAAAAATAACGAGCCTGCCCCATTTTGGTTCAAGTTCATTCTCGTGTTATTCTGTTCACCTTAAATTTGGTATCTTACTAATTTTATATTTCCTAAACTGCTCATCTCCTGCCTGTCAATGACAATAGCCTCTCAATTTGTTTTGTGTCAAAACCTTAGAGATAAATTTTCTTTGTGGTCTATAATCACGTGTGGATTGGGTCGTTAAGGGGTCAATAACTGCTGGCTAAAACTTATTTTCATCTAAATAATGCGATTATGAGTAGATTTATTCAATACTAAATAATATGTTATGTTTAACAAATAAAATAATTTTGTGGGCAGACAAATTCCATAGAGATATAACTTCCAAGATCCTTATTTAAAATTTCTTCACTCAGTAAACGAACAATATTAGTACCTATTAATCGGCATGTGCATGTGCAATGCAAACTAGACGCAGGGCGCAGGAACTGGGCAGGGCGCTAGGGTGCACGAATACGGGGCGGGGCGAGGGGTGCGGTGGGGCCCCTTCGACAGTCAGCTGTGTAGTGTCATGTAGTCGCGCCGCGTTGTACCGGACCGTGGGAAGTGGCCTAAATTGTGACCTTTGTTGAAATTTGATTTTTCTGTGTATGTAAAAATATATTATTACATTTTTCACATGATAGATTATAATATTATTACTTGATATATGAGGTGTATTTATGTTAGTTATTCATATTCATGGTCTATCAATTTCGGCGGCTGTAAAACCCTGAAATTTTATTTAGATTAAAATTATTAAATTAATTAATTTATTATTATTAAATTATTTAATACAATTATTTCAAATAAAGTCTGACACTGTGTTGACATTCTGACTGTCAGTGACATTTTGGCAATAATTTTTTAATGAAAACTATGAATTCTCTTTTAAAGAAAATAATAAGAAGCTATTAACTAAACCTTGTTTATTATAAAATAAATTTTTTATAAAACAAAACTAATTACAAAAACCAATCAATATTGTTTTTTTTTACATTCTTTAACTTAAAAAAGTAGTCAATGATCTATGACTAGTTTAGAAATTGAAAAATTAAAAAAATCCAATTACACTAAAACTTGCATAAGGTAGTGTGCATTGTGAAAATGTTTTCATTGTTTCATGTATGTTTGCCAATTGCCATTATTGTGCAATCAACAATTTTCAATAAAGTCCTCTTTATGGTTTGCCGCTGAATGGTGACGATAACAGTTATAATCACAGTTTTCTTGCTCTCAATGTTCAAACTTAATCAGTGTTTCATTACAGTTGTTGATTCATATCCTGTAATATTTTTTTATAACTTTTAAATAAATTATTCTGACTACACGGATGGCATAGTGGTTTAAGCGGTAACCTTGCCGCTTCTTACTGCGCTGAGTGTTGATGGTTCGATCCATAAAACTATTCCAAGGTAATTCCTTCTGGTCTTTGTAACGTTTTATATAATGGGCATTAACTTTCTCAACAATAGGTTAATCTCATCAGATATTTTATATTGCATCACACACAAACATCAAAGATAGGTACACTTGATACCACTTAACCCTAGGTTTTGTATCATTTTAGAAAAAATGCTTTTTAATTTCATTTCAGTGTGCCGTGTTGGTCATGGCTACGCTCATCCAGGAGAATGGTATTAAGGATCTGAGCAAAGGCACACATGGCGTTGTGTCGAACCATGGTATGTCTGCACACAGTGTTGCCAGTCATATGGTGCCAGACCATGAATACTGCGAGGCTGGTACAGCCAGCGGGCCACAACCGCAGTGTACGAACACAGGCGAGATGCCAGTACCAGCCAATCCACCTGAAGAAGAGGAGGAAACACCTGAAATAGATATAATGATAAACAATGTTGTGTGCAGTTTTAGTGTTAAGTGCCACCTGAACTTGAGACAGATAGCATTAAACGGTGTTAATGTAGAATTTCGCCGCGAAAATGGCATGGTCACTATGAAATTACGTCGTCCGTATACGACGGCTTCAATCTGGTCATCTGGTCGCGTGACGTGCACGGGCGCCACTAGCGAGGAGCAAGCGAAGATAGCAGCGCGCCGGTACGCACGTGCGCTGCAGAAACTCGGCTTTCAAGTGCGCTTCCGCAACTTCCGCGTAGTTAATGTATTAGGGACATGCCGAATGCCCTTTGGTATAAGAATCATATCGTTTTCCAAGAAATACAAGGAAGCAGAGTAAGTAATATTTTGTGATGCTTAAAATTTTATTTTATTTAGAAACTAATAGTAGGGGAGCCCTAGAAGGGATTTCGGGCTTTACTTGAGCGTGTCAGATTAAGATAGGAGGAATACCTTACGCCTAGTTGAGTACCTCTACTGTACATGAGCCCATAGGGGGGGGGAAAGACTAGGACAGCCCATTAGATTAGTTAAAAAAAAAATTATGGCCAGAAGTACCCCAGCAGATTAGAGATTTGAGTAGTAAGATTAAGGTAAGGTGTGTCAATTCAATACACATTAGTGTATATTTAAAAAAAATCGAATGATTTGGGTGTGACATAAAGCAGTGGGAGGGTTACAAGCTTCACAAACTTTTTATTTTAAAGCAAATAATGCAAGAAATCTTCTTTAAATGTTTATATAATTTTTCGTGTCTTTGTCACATTTTATAAAAAATCAGAAAATAAAAATATTTCTAAACGCCAGATTTAACATACCCTGCAAAATATCGTCAGATATTTGGCTAGTATGAGAGGAACATCAAGCTGAACCGTCTATATAAAATCGATCTTTCGAATTTGCAGTTAGCGATAATTTTTCGATAATTCGCTACGAGCTTGTCGCTTTAAAATCGTCAAACCTTTCAATGGTAGCATTTTTGGCGTTCAAATAACATATCCCCAAATATCTGATGCGCCCGTTTTTTTTTGTTCGTGTAGAATTTAAAAAGCACTGCCGTAGTGGTGCAGTACGGTACGCGACTGCAGTGCATCCTGGACCGGGAAAATTTTATAGATTTACTGAGAGGAAAAATAATCTAAGTTACTCATTATATAGACAGCTACTGTGTAGTAAAATATTATCAAAATGGGTCCAGCCGTTTTGAAGATTACCTAGAACTCACAGACAAATACAATACAATACAATGATAATCAGGCATAGGCATTATTCTTGCAAATAACTGTGTGAGCATGAAAAAAACCTAATATAACGGTCATTTCTTATGTGTGTGGGGGTAATTTATCTATAATATGTATCAAATTACACCCAGACACAACAAATGACCATGCTCATCTCACAATATTTGTCCTGGGTGGGAATCAAACCCACTACCTCCGGGTCACTAACCACTAGACCAACAGGCCCAACAACACCTATTATTATTTTGATATTACAAACAGACACTTCAATTTTATTTATTTACATGGAATTTTATTAGTTAATAGTACTTATCAGTTAGATTAAACCCTATGTAGGTTTGTTAGACCATGAACATCATACATTGTACAGTATTTCAATTTTCTTTATAAATATAGTTAGACTATGCTACGACTGTAATTTCATATTGGTGTATAATCGCCTGATTAACATGTAACCCTCATCTACAGACTCCATGTATGGATACACATAATGTAGGTGTTTACCAATTGTTTCTTTGACAATGGAAGTTGTTTATGTGTGGTCTTCTTAAATTAAAACTTAAACAAGATTAAATTTATTTACAGGAGACAAGTTAAGATACATATAATTTACATATGTTAGTTTTTCTCTCCAGATGATTTATAGTAAGAAACCAGACGAGCTAATAGCAAAAAATAATAATTAAGTAACAATATTTAACATGGTTATTAGCTTTTTCTAAACTAAAAAAAGAATATAAACAAAAATGCTTTGGTAGTGCTTTTTTTGAAAATTAAATCTATACTAATATTATAAAGCTGAAGAGTTTGTTTGTTTGTTTGTTTGAACGCGCTAATCTCAGGAACTACTGGTCCGATTTGAAAAATTCTTTCAGTGTTAGATAGCCCATTTATCGAGGAAGGCTATAGGCTATATATCATCATGCTGAGATCAATAGGAGCGGCGCACCAATGAAGAATGTTTCAAAAACGGAGAAAATTTATTACTATTGAGAGACGCAAACGAAGTTGCGCGGGTCAGCTAGTAAATTAATAATTAAAATGTTGAGCCTACCTGACAAAACTGAAGCAAATGCAGTAGGATGGGTATAGTCCGATGCAAACTTAATGGCGGCTCGGAACATCGTGCGTTTCGATGCGCAGAACACAATAATAGACAGCAGCGAGAGAGACGTAAAGAAGCGCGGGGGCATAGCGACACACGATATGCATACCTTTTAGTGTGTGAGGTACGTCCGTACACTGCAAATGCGGGCATATTCTTGACTACGTATGTTGGCATAGTCGAGTCGACTTGACTGTAGGGATCTGCGCAAACCTGTGTGCGCAACTAATTTCAAAGCCCCCATTAAGCTTGCATCGGATTTTAATATAGTTCTTTTATGTAAAGGTTCAAGAAAGAAAATTTGGTTGTTTGTGTATTTTATGATTTAAGCTGTAAAGACAGTAAATCCCCAGTAGTATTACTGTCTAACTGTAACTGTATAACGTTTGTCTGTTACACTTTCACAGCAACCTGTAAACCAATATGATACTTTGGTTTTTATTGGTTACTGACTGTAATGGAAGGACATGGCTATTTTTACCGCGATAACCGACATACTCGCAGGCGGAGCCGCGGAGAAAAGCTAGTAGTTAATAATAAATGATATTTTTAACGATACCGTATGTATACTATTCACATCCAACATGCCTACGCCTATTTTGCGTGACAGGGAAGGTAGCTGTTAATGCCATCCTAATTCCTTAAAATAATTTATTACACCATGAGGTGACAGCAAAATCTCAAGGAGAATCCTCTTCCGGACTATTTGTGCCACATGGTGGTCGGGTCAGCCCTCTTCGTATACTTTTTCACCTTCGCCCTGTCGCTGACGTCGTCTTCTGAAACATTGCCTCTTTGGTAATAATAATAATAATTTATTGTTTCTCTTCATAATGAAGTTCTTTGGTTCAGTATTTTGTCCCATTTATTTTGCTTATTGTGCAAATTACAGGAGACTTGACCATCCAAGCAAGAGCCTTTGTTGCTTATTTGTATCTCAACTCAAACTCAAATATCTATGTGCAGTATTTGTTGTGTAATACCTGTAGTGTCATGATATATGACTGATGTAGGCCATCCAGGAAATAGGGTAACGATTGGTTCAGGTTCTATTGCTAGATCCTTGTTTGACTGATTCATCAGCAACATTGTTGCCTTATTTGTTGTTATTGATTTTGTGGTTGTTATCATTGCATCCCTCCATTAGGCAGTAAGTGTTAAAGATAATTTCTTTTGGTTTTCTTTATGGGCTTTTGTTCCAGAATGGTCACTTAAAGTTTAGAATTTTTTCTCTCACATTGTTTCCATTGAGTTTATTTACAATTAGATATAATTTTAGGTATACAAGCTCTGTATGCAATTTTTACCACAACTCTATGTAAATATATCCACTTAGTAATTTTATATTGCATACTAGCTGAGACCCGCGGTGTTACCCGCGTTTGTTGTTATAACCGCGGGCAATGCCGCGGGGCTAAGCTAGTCTAAAAAAAGTAGCCTAAGTTACTCCTTATGTCATCAGCTATCTGCCAGTGAAAGTCCCGTCGAAATCGGTCCAGCCGTTCCAGAGATTACCCGGAACAAACAGACAGACAGACAGACAAAAATTGAAAAAAAATGTTATTTTGGCATATGTACCGTGTAAACATACATATGCATTTAGTAAAAAGCGGTTATTTTAATATTACAAACAGACACTCCAATTTTATTTATTTGTATAGATTAGGCATGGAGATAGTTTGATTTTTGAGGAAGGACAGAGGCTACTTTTTACCGCGATAACCGACATAACGGCTAGTCTATTATATAAATGAGTGTTCCTACTGAAACTCATATTGTGGGCCTTCTCTCATATTATTTTTAGGGTAGTCACGTGCTTGCTTGCGAAATCAAGACAGATTAATTATTTTTAAATGTTTAACCTGTTTGTCCTGTCTGATTGTTTTTACCGTAACGAAAACCGCTCCTATGCTGTACGTTACTTTTGCAAAGAAGGCTTGGCGGTATAGCGACGTTTGCCGTGAGTCAAGATCCTATTCAAATACAGAATTCTGGAATATACTCCAGTCCCTCCCCGCCTTGAAACTAGTTAGAACACTGTTGTTATAATTCATTCGATTCCAAAATAGCAGAGTGAGGTAACTGACTGGTTGAAACCCGTGATTTTTTTTTATTATACGAAGCAACACGCCATATATTACATGTATTTTAAATGTTCTTTTTATAGCACCATAAAGTATTTGTTGTAATTTTGTTATTCTGATGCTAAACTCAAATCGAATATGTTGATCTTTGTCACTATATTTGTGTTGTTTTATGGATTTTTGTAAATTTGTTATCATGAATATATAATGTAGAAATAGGGTACATTCATATGTATAAAATATTTCGTCCAGCGACTCTTTTCTGTGTATGTATGTAAAAGTGTAGGTATTGTTACAAAAACTACGTCTTAGAAAAACTTACCTTTTTTAAGTAAAGACTAAAGTCGTACCTTTATACTTAAAGTATAATGCAAGATATCTCATAATCCGAAATATATCTGTGCTATCATCAACAGCCTTTAACAGTCCACTGCTGGACATAGGCCTCTCCTTAGAAAGGTTTTGGCCTACTATACCACGCTGGGGAGACGGGTTGGTATAGGGTTTGTGTCAAGTTTTCCTTCTCTCTGCAGTGCTGGTGTCCTGCGTATTTCGCTCCCTTAGTCGCCTCTTACGACACCCACGGGATGAATAGGGGTGGTGACACTCTGTATTCTTAATCCGTCACCACACGGATCTGTGCTATACTCCTTTGGAAATATAATACTAGTAGCTTTGATGGCGAAAAGTATACATATAACTTTCACATGATTGTCATCTAATATTATTATTGGTATCTGACGAGCCTGTTGGTCTAGTGTTTAGTGACCCTGACTGCTAAGCCGGAAGTCGTGGGTTCGATTCGCACCCAGGACAAATATTGTGTGATGAGCACGGTCATTTGTTTTTTTTTTTACTCGCGAATTTTAAGTAAAATGCACATACTTCCCGTTTTCTCTGCATCACCCAATGGTTGACTGGTAGAGAATGCCTTAGGCCAAATGTGCATGATGTGTAAAAATTAATAAAATATACATAATATGTATTTTTATATATGTTTTGTCAAGAAAGTGAAATTAATTTACATAATAGGTGCTTCCGTACACTCATTTTTTAACAAGGCCTTTTATCACCATTCATCAATAGATCGAAATGTTGTAGACTCAAACTCGTCACCAATACTTTATATTACAACTTTATAAGGGATTATAAAGACAGAAGTAATTTAAATTAAAAAAAAACCTGTGCTACAGACAAAATTCTATTAATAATTTTGTATTGTCTTTTTCAGTTATGAACCAGAGCTTCACCCTGGAGTTACATATAAGTTATATAATCCTAAGGCCACACTAAAGATATTCTCCACTGGAGGTGTAACTATAACAGGTAATATTACCTTTTATTAATGCAATTATTTGGATGCATATTATATTCTCAGAATAGTTTTGTCATACTTTGAATGTGAAATATGTATGTATTTGAGAAAATCTAAACAAGATGGAACTAAACAGTGTACATTTGGACGTTAGTTAGTTAAGCCATTCTGTGGGCAGGCTTGGGGAGGAAGACCGCTGCAGTCTTAACGACAGTCGATCCCTGATCCCCTTTTTTTTGTGCGGGAATCCCCTCTGATACCACCCACCGGTGGCTATGTCGGACCAAAAACCACACGCCGTCTCCAGGTACCAGTATCCGCGGAACCAGGTATACCCTAGAAAGGAAAACCCCGGTACCCCGACGTACCTCGGGCGGCTATCTACAGCGCATAAGATGCCCCCTCCTGTGTGGGAACCCGGATGTTCCCTTCCTGCCCCCGAAGGGCGTACGCGCTATTGCTTCGGCTAGTGTGACAGATGGCCTCACATGTCACCTTCAGGCCTGCGCTTATGGAGGACGGAGGTCGTCCTGCGGCGCCCGAGCCGTCTGCGGTACCTGGCCCGTTCTCGGGCCTGACAAGTCGGGAGAGTTCTGAATCTCTGCCGGTCCCGCTCTGCCATCTCCTTCGCAAGCATAACCTGCTAGCAAAAGGAGACGGCGGAGGCTCCCGGATCCCCTCTTGTTTTTGAGTTTTTGAAATACGTTAATCGTTGTGGTTCAAGTCAGTTCGATTCCGAAATACCGTCCCGTCTATTTTACTTGGTGAGGTTCGAACCCTTAACCATTGAATCGTCTGTTGTTTCGGGCTATTACGCTGCCACCGTTTCAATATTATTACAAATATTGCAAGTTTAAGAATTGAATTTTAATCCTTCTGAGAATATTACTGTTGTTATTTGACATTATGTCGTGTCATCGTATTTGACGTTGTTTTCAGATCTTGTTACTTATTATGTTATTGAGGTTTTTTGTACATCTATGAAGAACGTTACATTTCTGATTAAAGAAGTTTGTATATTCCAAAATGATTTGTTGTTAAATTAACCCTTAATCTATCTCTATCGTCGACCAAGTGCACAGAAATGGTTTATAAATTTATAATTATAACAATTTGTCTTAACTTTGTCGCCATGTCGCATAAGCGCAGTTTTAAGCACTTTTATGTACTTTTCGCTGTTCATACGACCTTCGCAAACAAAAATTTAGCCAACCCCATCAGTAGCCATGCAGCCCCAGATCATTATGCTGCCTCCTCCATGCTTTACTGTCGGTACGACGCAATCTGGATGGTATTCTTCGCCCACACGTCGCCTCACGAAGGTCACACCTGGCGTTCCATATATCTGTTGAAAAAAGAAAAAACCCTTTTTTAAACTGCCTTAACTTTTATTATTTTAGTTAAATAAATAACTGACCATGATTATTAATAACAAAAGCAGTAAAATTTACTTACCTCAAAGTTAGATTCGTCAGACCATACCACATTGGCCCAATCTTCCTCAGTAAAATGTTGATGCCGTAGAGCCCATTCAAGTCGTTTTCTTTTGTTAGCTTCTGAAAGCCAGGGCTTCTTCCTGGCTTTGCATCCTTTTAAGCCTGCTCCTCCAAGTCTTCTTCTGGTGGTCCGAGCACTTATTGGCTTTCCAGCCTCTTCGGACAAAGTAACAGCAAGCTCTGATGATGTTTTCTTCCGATCTTTCATAGATTCGCGTATTAATTTTCTGTCCTCGCGCTTCGAAGTCACACGTTTTCTGCCTGTTCTTGGTTTATTAGCGTGACTGCCAGTCTCAGCAAACCGTTTGATAGCACAGCGCAACGCGAACATTTCAATAACTTAGAAATTTCTTTTTGCGACTTCCCTTGTGCATGGAAAAGTTGTATTTTTACTCGGTTTTCCAAACTAATTTCACTTTTTTTCGGCATTTTTAAATAAATTACGCGTCAATTTAATTACTATGTTAGAAATAAAAGCTCGTTTACTCGTTAGAGTCCTGAACACAAGTGACCAAACATTGACTGATAAGAACGCATAAAAACAAATCCTTTTTTTCAGTCACCAGGTGTTTTATGACCATAACAGATAGCTGCTTGCTTTCCTAGGAAGTTATTTGTGACTCCGGCATGCCATCCAAAATAAGCATTTATTCATTGTTCAATCAGTAAACATGAATTGTGCATTTTTCTGGGGTGCCTAATACTTTTAGCCAAGGCTGTATATTATGATAATTGAGGGGCTCGTGGTTAAGTGATAACCGAGTAGGTTAACACATTGTAAAGTTAAAGCATTCTAGCCAGGTCAGTCTATGAATGGGTTACCATTTCTTAACACATGGAGACCTCTCCGCACCTCGGAGAGCACGTTAAGCCGTAGGTCCCGGTTGCCTAACGAACATCTGTGGCAATCGTTACGGGTTGTTGGGATCCTTAAAAAGTCCGACAACAGTCTATCTACAGAACTTCGATATCGCCTACTTGGTTTGTGGTGTTCTGATGGCAATTACTGCGCGTCAACAGCCCCAACTTAGTTTGGGAAAAAAGGCGCGGAGGATGAATTGTAAATATAAATAATAAAAATGAGGGAATGATTGCTCTTAGAATGCTTTTAAATTAGTTTTAGTGTATTAGGAATAAAGGCTCTGTATTTCTTTTATAGTAAGGGATGAGACATGGAGTACAGGATTTTTTTTTGACAGCCCGAAGTGTGAGCGACGTACAGTCTGCGGTGGAGCGTATCTTCCCGCTGGTTTATGAGTTCCGCAAGCCGCTGACGGCGGCAGACGAGGAACTGCTGCGACAGAAGCGGGCAGCGCGGGCGGGCGCCGCTCCCCCGCCGCCCCCGCCGCGGGACGAGCGTATGCACCTGGTCACGCTGTCGGATGACGACAACGACGCTTGGGAATGACGCGCCTCCGCACACTGACGCTCCCGATGCGACGCCCAGTGCGGGAACAAAATGGACTTTATATTGGCATCGAAGCAATAACTGTCGGTTGTTAGTGCGATCGCGTGTGACTCGTCGGCGAGCTGTTCGGTTCATGCCAAAGATATTTATTAGGGAGGTGCTTCGCGTCGGCCCGGCGCGCGCCCGCCGGCCGAACGTCCCGCGGAGCGCCCGCGCTTCTTTACCCTTCGTATGTACGATAGTATCGTTTTTGTGATGACCTGTGACCTCTTTAGATGCGTAGAGTGCGAGATGCGCGAGTCGAATCGTTTACGTTGAAACCAAAATTTGTCATAAAAAGAGAAAAAAAATGTTCAAAAATAAATCTCGATAACGATACTCAGTCTCGTTTTTCATTTGCCGTTATGATTAATGAATTTGTAGTGATAATAGTGTTCATTAAGATTTGTTCTAAGAATGAGATGACTGAACGATTAGAAGTTAGTGATTGTAAATATAAAAGCTTCGACATTATACGTTTCAATAAAAACATGTTCGTTTTATTACCCATTCGTTTAATATACATAAATGCACAACTAAATAAAACCACAACCTTATTTTTGATCGTAAATATCTTCTAGTAAGAATCAGACTCGTGTGTATCGTATTCGTCGCTTGTAAATCTAGGTTGAGAGGGGCGTGGTGGTCTCGAAATCCTTAACTGAATCTTCTCCATCCGTTGGTTGATGTGGTCGGCAGGGGTACGAATGTAAGCGCTCATGTCTACTACTGCTAACCGAGGAGTTTTCACTGCAGTTCCTATTAACAAAATAAATAATTACCCAAGTCCAGTTTTTTATTGGGACTAATGCCAAAAGCAGACACGTTTATGGATGATCAGACTTGTATATGATTTATTATCCCTGTCGGTTAATAACAACTATAAATAAAATGCAAATTTAGCTCTGATTATAATCAGAATTAATATAAAAATAATCATTATTATATGGTACCAGAAACGTCTTACCACCCGACCATGGGTAAAATCATGTTTATTTGCAACGAGACCCAGTGAAATACACGCTGTCATACAATTTTAATTCGGCATTAAACAAATTACAATTCTAAGTTTAAACCGTGCAAGGTCTACTTCATAGGTATTTTAAACAGCAACGCTGCGGTGGTATGGTGGTCCGATAACCGCTGGGCGGGTTTGGATGTGTTCCGATTGGCCATGATCGCCTGGAGCAGATTCAAACCTGGCGCGCCCTCCTGTCCGGAGGGCGTGCACGGCGTATGGTCATGGGAGCGAGCGCAACAGTCGTGTAGATCCCCATGACAAGTCTGGGTGTTATCCTTCTCGTGGTTGCCGCCTGTTTTTAATCTGGTTCCCTATGAAACAGAAATAACTGAAACACCCAGGCGCAATTCCATCCAATTATACCCATCCTTTCCTTATACTCCTACCTAAACCTTCTGCGGGCATTAAGTGGTTGATGCCTGCGGCCTCACCATCAAAAGAGACTGAGGGTGAGGAGAAGGGGCAACCACCCGCATGTTTGTGCCGTGTGCGGGGACCCGTAAAGGGAGGATAAAGGGATCCTGGTAGTTGAGCCGAAAGGCAACACGCTGCTTTGGCCTGGATTTCACCTGACACGGGAGGCTGAAGGCTAGCCACCTTCGGTCAATCGGCTGTAGCATCCCGTCAGAGGGCTGCTGGGCAAGAGCTCTTCCTTGGTGGGGGTGGACGACGGGTGAGACGACCACAGTCTTCCTACCTAGTTCGGCCTGCCTTCTGTCAGGGGTAGAACTCTATATCCCCTTGTTACTTCTGGCGTTGTGTGCCTTTTGCCGCGACGTCCCCACTTGAGGGCTCCAAGGAGGGTGGAAGGACAAGGAGATGAATAAAATATCAATTATCTATGGATCGATTAATGAAAACCCCAAAAAATAAATCAACCAGGCATCGGTGCAGACCAAGGGTGAACAACCTGGGTGCAAGGCCACTAAACCATACGGCAGCCCCTCGGGTGAATAACCCGTGCGTGGCGCCGGCCATCACACTAACAGCAACTCCTCGGGTGGCTAACCCGACCCCAGCGCTGTCTACTATACAGGCGGCTCCACAGGTGCACAACCAGAGCTCTGCGCCAAGATGGCCCATCGACCTCTCCTCCGTAAGAGCAGCAATTCCCACACCTGCGGGGTCCAGCCAGGACATGTCCAGCTGGAATTTTGTAGGGATAAGGAGGAAGGTGCCGATTGGACCGAAACCACCACACCGGACCCGTAAGCACAAACGGGCGAAACTCCGAGCGGAAGCATGGCGAACGCGACCTCTGACGTCAGGTAGTAAGCCATTTGAAGCTGCTGAAGGGTCCGCAAGGGCCCACGATGTACCCGCCAGTAATGCGCTGACCCAAGGCAAAGACGACAGTCTAGCCGTCGGGACAGTTGCTCCTACAGGGGCACCACCTGCCGGTAAGACGCTTGCAGCTGCAGTAGCACCCTCAAGGAAGGATCGCCCTAGATGGGGCGAACGAGTGGCAAGAGCAAACCACGATAGGAGACCATCGTGCTCTGCGAAACCCGCGAAAAGGACACACCCGGACGAGTCTTATTCTCCAAATGGCAATGGTAAGCGAAGGAAACTTCTGCAATGCAACACCGGCTCCGTTAGTTACTCCGACGCATTAAAGGAGAACGATCTTTGCGTCGCAGTCATGCTGCACCCTTACCACGACCTCACCAAGGAGCAGGCGGAGGCCATCGAGGGCCAGCTACAGGGCGTGCTGGATGAGGAAATCTTCACGCCCGACACGTCAGGTGATCCCGTCGTTGCACCACAATTTAGGGGCAAGGCCTTCTATAGTGAGGGCGTCCTTAAGATGTGGTGCAATGATGAATATGCCCTACATTGGCTTCACCAATCCGTGGCTAAGGTCGCATCACCACGAGACGGTACCAGGCTTGTGGTCAGGAGACAATCGGAGATCCCGAAGAGGACCAAGGCTGGACTCCTGGTGCCGCAGATTGGACCAGAAGACACACTGGTTCGTATTCAAACTAGGCTGAGGCACCAAAACAGCCAGTATAACGTGGCCAACTGGGCCCTCTACCATGCCGAACCGCAGGAGGAAAAAAAATGCCTTTTTCTAGTACTCGGCATCCCGGATGAGGACGTGCTTAAACTGAAGGCGAGCGAACGTAGAGTTTACTACAAACTGGGTAACCTCTACGTTCGCTTCTTTGACGAACGTCCTCCCCCAACAACGAACCCGGACAAAGAACAGGAAATGGTTCCAAATAATCTCAGTCGTGATAGCACCAGGGGAGAACAGCCAAGGTTCGACAAACCAGCCCTACTGAGTTCACCTCTCAATGAGTTGGAGGTCCTATCAGTGGGCGAGAATGACCTGGAAGAGGACGAGGTGTATATGTTGAGCAGTCACGATGGCGCTGCTAGTACACTTCCCTACTAAAACACTCCAAAGCCATGCAAACCAACCTCTAGTACAATCAAACAGCAACAGCTAACCTACGGAGGGTGCTGGAGATAAATACCAAGACCATAGCCTTAATTCAGGAGCTTCGTGGATTAGGAAGGGCAGGACCTGTGGTCTTAACAACATTGGAGGTAAGATACTTCTCAACACAAACACTAATAGCAAGCGCCTGTATCTATACACCGAAACACGCAAACCACCTTAATGACCCGAGTTCTGTTCCAGAGACCTTACGGAATGATTGGGATGAAGGAACCCTCTTCTAGTCTGCCGAACGTGGTGCCGGGCGATGCTGACATCGCCGCTCCGCAGTCAGCTGACTGCACTGATAAACGACTGCGAGCGAGAGGCAGCTGATCGTCTGCTGATACCAACGCGCACAGCAGGAGCAACAACCAGAGTGGCGACGAATTTGTATCTTTCCTACTTACAACCGAGCTGAACTCATTGTACCCGCCCACTTTTATGGAACATTGTAGTAGTTGAACTTATCACACATCTCAATGACCGTAAATTTCTCAGTAGGTTATGCAGACGACTTGACTATTCTCATCTCATCTCATCTATTTATCCCAGAGTGAGTGTTCCTATTAAGCTTCAATTCAAACCATCTATTGTGTCCGACGTGTTATAGTGCAAATGAAAAATGTAAGTAGGTACCTGTGATTACTGGCAACACATGGTCATAGTTTGGTACGGTCCGTGGACGTCTTGATTTGAGCATGGGGCGGCGAGTTAGTTTTGGTGCAAGAGCTTGTATGGTTGGCGGGGAAATTTTCGGCAGCGGGGGTGATAACACACGGGTAACCAAAACACGACGCTCGGGGGAAGAACTAGGAGACCTAAAATTGAGGGAGAAAGGAGAGTTTACGATTCCAAGTAAAATGAAATTTATGGTGATTTGCTCGAGACGTATCTTTAATATGCCTTTTTCTAACATAAAGGTACAAATTGTGAGACACTTCACCCAACAGAACATTGCCAAGACATCACGAGTGGAAGTGGCAACATCACGAAGAGATTATTAAGCCAAGAATCTTTTTGATTAGATTTAAGTTTAGCTTAAAATTATGCCTCAGTATTCTCCAATCCATTTATGTAATCCATTTCAAAAGGCATATGTACAATGATTTTAGTAGATAAAGATAATATATTTCCCATCGGTACTATTTGGAATGCTTTGGTGGTAATTATAATATTTACATTCATTTTTCGTTGTTTTTAATCCCCGCTGCAAAAAGAAGGAGCCCTATCAGTGAAGTGGGTTCATTTACCTGCGTGTTTATCTGTAATCATAGCTTCTAAACGGATGGACAGATTTTAATTAAGTTTCTTTTTGTTTGAAAGTTGACTTAATTAAGAGTTCTTAAAAAAGTGTCCAAACGAATACGAATAAAAGGTGGACAAAAAATGTTTAAAACATGCAAATTCAAAAATTGTTTCCTCTAATTTTCGGCTTCGAAGACTCGACACTAAAAACATTACCTCTCTCGTTCAATAACGGGGCGTCTCCGTCGCCGCCTGCTCCGTTGCTCCTTCTTCTTAGTTTTTCCCAGTCGCGGAGGAATGACACCCACATGTCGATAGTAGTCGCATAATGCTTTTGCTAAGGATCTACCAACTTTACCATCTGTTAATCGGATAAGGATTCCTATGTGCAAAACTATAACTTATTATGTTCGTGACCGAAACCGATATTTATTAATATAATAGGTCTTCACCTATGAAGTTGGAGATTTTCAAAACCAGCATTTTCAGATTTAATTATCTGTGGATTTGCGAGCAATACGAAATTCAAATAGATTTTATTCGAAAGCCATGGTATTTTTAACTCAAATTTAGTCACTTGTTTTAGAAAGTGTTTTGTTTTTTTGAAATTGTGGTAGTTTTGGCGTCATAGATAAACTAAAAATTCATACAATTTCCGAATATGAGTTACTACGTGGAAATATCGCTGCGCAAGCAACACGCAGTAGCAAGCAAACCTTTTTTTCTAAGGAGAGGCCTATGTCCAGCTGTGGACTATTAAAAGCTGTAGATGATGATGATGATGAAGCAACACGAAACATTAAAAACGTGTATGGGCAACACGCTCCATTTTTCAATCGTTGTAGATCTGGAAATTTTGAGTTGAAGAATGCGCCTCGCGGTCCGCCGGTAACTATAGTAGTAGTGAGGGTGATAGCGGAAGCGGACCCAATTCAAACTACGGCGAACTTGCTGCGGGCTTTGGAGTTAGTGTCAAAACAACATTGAAGCACGGTGATATCACTCCGGTGAAGTAATTCGGCATAACCGGAGGCCTTTGTTCACCTTCGAATTCATTCACAGAGGTGAACAAAGGCGACTGCCGTACAAAACGCTTTCGCTGACTTCATCGCCTCCTTTCTAGCAGACTTCTACAGTAAAGGGATAAACAAATTGCCATCAAAATGGCAAAATTGTATGGCAAGATTATTTAGGCCAGTACTTTGATTAGCTAAAATAAAAAATGACTCATATTTTTATATTTTAAAATATTCATTCAAATCTCAAACTTCATAGATAAAGACCTAATACTAACATTGAGATGAAGCGCGCCAGTTTTGATAGCGGTGCTTAGGCAAGGCCCTACCTTTGGCCGCTATCCTGTGTTACCTTAGATTAAAAAAAAAAACAAATAACTGTAATAGCGTAAATGCCACAGACATTGAAATTGTGACTGGTGCTTCGGAGGGAGTCCTCGGTGCTCTACAACAAACCTCGCTTAGGTACTCCATTTTTTTTGTTATGATTTTAAGTAGAAATTCGTCACCCGCATGTTTTTAAGGGCAAAGGAAGGAATGAGTTTGAAATTGGCCAAAAATTTTCTTAATTAACAGCACGTACTAAACTTCCAAATCAGTTGATTACGTTATTTACATTATTAATTATTATATTCAATAAATAAGAATAAGAAGTTTTTGTAAATAACTAAAAGGATACACGCATCTTCAGTGTAGTGAATATAAGGTCCTCTCGGAGATAATTTACGTCCTCCTAGCGACACTATCAGTGTGTAGGCGTCTATTGCGCCGGTTTGAAGCGCGCGACGCGCACTCCCGGCCACCACCTGGTCCGCATTGAAATGGCAGGCTTCGGGTCTCCATGCTTCGATACGCGTCCCAAAGAACTTTGGTAACACCGCCTGACGTTCGAACCTTGAAAGCAATAAAATAATTGGGTAAGTAGGTACTATTTGATCGATCTGTGCGGTATTTATCTGTTGGTTGACATATATATTGACCGATAACATCGATTTTTCGATCAGAATATTCGTGCAAGAGCAGTGATATAGATATGATTGTAACAAAGATACGCCTAAGCGTCCATCGGCGCTTTAGCAAGGCCATATCAGCTGTCATCCTTTAGTAAGTTATGTAGGTACGTAAGTGAGTAAGTGAACTAAAGTGCAAAGGTACTTAATAGAGATTTTAATCGTTACAGAGCACTTTATATGTCAGTTACCTAATAGATTAAGTAATTCAAGATTTAGGTATAAAAAAATACCTATTAGATATAAAATTTGGTCTGTTTTCATTTGAGGTATAAATGACAATATACTTAATTAAACTCACCTGTAAACATCATCAAAAGAATTACCTCTCACAAACACACCTTCGTGGCTGATATCTGCGTGTATATCAATGATAAAGTCCAATTGCACATGCTGTAAATATTTCATTCTTTACTAAGTTTTCTATTATCAACAAGAGTAAGAAATAGGCAGAAGGAATAGACGGGGCCGTAATAAACATCTATGACAACCATGAAATCCAACACAAAGCAGAATATATTCTAACCTATCTAGGTGATCATGCTTCTCGGCTCTCGGACCGGTTGACATTGAAATTCAGTATACCTAATCTATTTATCTAATCAGAGTGTGAGAATTTCTTGTGAATGTCTATAGGGTTCTTCAAGAAGAGCAGTTAAAGGTTCTTCATCAACACCTGCGTGATGATATTCAGCTGCATACGTCCATAGACTACGGTAGACCAGGAGTGACATATTATGCTTCTTTCGCGACTCAGTAATTTTGATTTGTAACCTTTGAGAATAAAAAACTTACCTTTTCTGATGCAAGTTTCTGTACAAGTTCCTCAACGGCAATAAGGGCGGGGTGTGCAAATTTGGTAGCTCTATTCCAACAGCGGTTCAGGTCGGAGCCAAGCAGGTCTGAGCGTTGGTTGCCGAGAAATACTCCGTCTGGATTCAGCATAGGAATCACCTAAATAGCACAGAACTTTCAAAATAATGGTGAAGACCGCTTTTAGTAGATAAAGCACAATTAGTTAATTCAGTGCAAAGAAAATGTTTTAAGTGGTAAAAGTATAATTTCAGCCACGTTCGTAAGCAAAGTTATTCCTGTAATTTGTATTTTAGGATGTTCTCAAAGAAATTAGGAAAATATTTACCTCTAATACGATATTGTTTCTCAGAGCCACTGCCTTTTCGGACGAGCTGAGTAAGTAATCCAAGAATCCTATAAAATAATTTATAAATAATAATAGGTATTCATAATAATAACCCAAATATAATAAAGCTTATTGTAAAGTATTAGATTTGCAAAAGTGAAGCATGTGCTCGAAAATTATTCATGCGATTTTGTTACTTTTCACCACTAAATAAGTTAAGTTTTTTTTCAAAACTGACCACGAATATGAGAGTACCTTGGCAAATAAACGATGACGGAGGTTCTCCTCCATGTGTTCTTGCTATAACGAGTACAACTCGTTTCTTTGGTGCCGCCATCTTGACCTTTAAACCGCCAACTTCTTTATCTTCTTTAAATTTTTCATTTACGTTAACGTCGCCGATTGTGAGTAGATCGATACGACGTTTTTGCTAAAATGAATGGTGAAATTTAATGCTTCAAGTGAAACATACATTTAAGCAAACATTACAGGACTTTAAGTGAAACCTAAGGATAATATAATTGGCTTTATGTATAAAATTGACAATAAGCTCTCAGGAACTGTGTTGTTATAAGAATCCGTCGCCTCTGTAAGCAACAGTGTAAACAAGTGAGTTGAACTCAACTTTCAATGCTTTGGTGGACCTGAGTGTGGCTCATAATATGATCTTTGTCCAAAGGAGGTAGAGACCTCCCACCAGACAATTAGCTACACTTTTTGTCTGAAATTTTTAAAATGCACCCAGAATGTATTCTTTCTACTTTCTTTCGCATTTATGAAAAAGGAAAATTGAGACCTACTCGGTAACATTTACTTTTAACATATGTATATTTACTGAATATCTTACAGTACTCTGAGCTATAGATTTCCTGGTAGCGAACGCCTGTGCACGTTTCTCCCACACCGCCAAGTGCTTCTGAAGACGAGAGTAGGAATAGGATGCAGCCGCTGAGAATTGGTACACATCTTCTTCACGATCGAAAGCAAAGGCAATGCTCAGTATCTTACGACCTCTATGAAGCACCGAGCGATGGTAGAATATCAGCCGCCTCGGTAGCCTTTGCCTGGAAGCATGTTATAGTTGATTTTCAGTTTTATAGTTACCATTTTAAGTATAAAAATTGAAATGAATGCGATACTTTGGCAGACATGAGTCGACTCGAACAGAGTTCACCATGGCTTCACAGAAAATCGGTTAAGCAACTCTATCGTTGTTTTTACCGAGTGAGCCAGGCTACTGGAAGCCCAAAATCTCTCTTTTAATTCTGGGCTAGAGGGGTTACTGAAAGGTCGGTAATTTTTAATGGGACTAATCCCTCCCACACGCCCACCACTATAACTTTTGTACACCAGGATCAACAGCAGACCGACGAACACACCGAGTTATGACACTTGGGAAGTCCCAGAAAAAAATATACTGTCTTGGAACCCGCAACGAAATTAATCAGAAGAAAATTGGATGAGTTGGAAATAGGCAAAGGACGGTTATGTACTTGTAAATTGAAATTACCTTACGACCCGTCAATCAATTGATCCGTCTGTTCGTTTATCCCCCATATCGTAACAAAAAAGGAGGTTACCAATTCGGATGTTTATTAAGCTTGGTTTTATCAGTGTTAAAAGATTTTTATTTTTATTTCTATCTATATTATCACATTATTCTTAAGGTCTTTGTTGAGTACTGGGAGTCATAATAGAACCCATTTAATAGTTAAAAAAGCATCAGAATAAAAACAGGGAATCGAATCCATGTTCATCATCATCCACGAAATACACGTTATTTTCCTAGTTAATTTACCTACTTTCTTAAATAAACCTGAATGTTTTACCATTTTTGCCGTGATGTAGATCGCACAAGCGGCGTCATATGTGTGTCGAATAGAGTCATCTCTTTTCCCAAATTAACAATATTAAAAATAACTCTCTGCAACAAACATGCTTCACATAAAACAATTTAATCTCATCTTTGAACTGAGAGAATATATATTTGAGACCTCGTGTATCTTACTGTGTGAATATTACAGAACACTAAATTTAATAAGTACCGTTTACACTAGTTTCATAATGCCATCATCAACAGCCTTTACTAGTCCACTGCTGGACATAGGCCTGTCCTTAGAAATAACGTTTTGGCCTATTATACTGGCCAGACGAATTGGAATAGGGTTTGTATCAAGTTTTCCTTCTCTTTGCAGTGCTGTTGTCCTGCGGAGTTTACTCCCTTAGTCGGCTCTTACGGCACCCACGGGATGAACAGGGGTGGTGACAACCCGTATTCTTAATTCGTCACCACACAGTGCATAATACATAATGCCAGATTGAAGTAAATCCACCTAATTTATAAAGCAGAGTTATTTTTTGAAAGTCTAATGTATAATTTATGAAAAAAAACAAATATATATATAATATAATTTACGCAAAAGAGGACAGGTATCATTTAAGTCAACTACAATAAAAACAAACTGTATTGACATTACGAGTAGAGGTTCTTAATTCGGTAACTCCGTAATTTAAGAAATGATTCGATCATTTATATTTTTAACTGTAGTAGTAACTTGCAGTTACGTACGAATACCATTCAAATTGAAAGAAAAAATACTATACCAAGTGTCGAAAATTAAGGAATGACGAAGAATACGATACGAATTATTACAATTCATCATAATGTAGGTCCATTGAAGTCAGTGATTCTTTTTAAAAGATAATTAAGCAATCACAACATAATCCGTCCTAAATGGTAACTGGGACAGCGCGTTTTAATAGAATAATATATTTAATAAGGTGTACTGATACTAATATCAGTACACCTTATTAATGGCAAATAGCAACGCATTAGTTAAACTTCCGGTGGTGTTAAGGGATTCGCACAAGTTTACCATATGTTCTGATTTAGTGGTGGAAAAATGTAACTTACTTGGTCTTGTTTCACATTTTCAACAGTAAAGTTAAACCAGAACCTGGATCTTGGTCTACACGTGTCAGGCCTGATGTACAAATCATACTCCAGTTCAGTGATATGATCAGCTCTGCCTAAGTTACCACACTCGAAAGCAGCGTCGAAACAGAGTTGTCCACGCTTGGCTTTACCGCTAGTGCCCGGAGGACGGACGATTAAACGATTCAAGTTACCTTGGCCACCATCACCGTCACTTTCTTCACTATCTGTAATTTAAGTATAAAACAAACTAATGTTTGTTTCCAACACTCTCTCTTAAGTTCTTTTGATAATTACTATTCGATTTTTTTTTTTAATTTTACTAGAATTTGTTTCCCTAAACCATAAAATTAGAGTCTCCGAGATTCGAGTTTTAAAAGAGGCAACATTCAGAGGCTGTTCCATTTATGAATTGTAGACGTATGAATCATATTGACTTTACAATTAAATAAGATGAGTTGATTATGCATGCATAAAACAGATTGTGGCCACGCGTGATAATAGCATTCAATCGGTGGTGTTTGGACTTGAATATTCAGAACATGCTCACTATCGACGCGTTTAATTAAGCATTACACAAATAATAAAAATATCTCAAGGAAATCTTAGTGCTGCCGGCAAACAAAACATGTTGTTCGATTTTCAAAATTCACAGATTTCTATTTTCTTTACAGAGGTATTGAAGTATTAGTTTATTATGACGTATTTAGTTTTACCACAAACAGGTCGCAGATAAATACTAGTATGTTCAAGTTCTTCAGTATTCGCAGCCATTGCAAGACTGCTTTGGTGCCCGACCAAATCGTTTTACTCAACTAAGTTTAACAATGTAGGTGAATAGGTGGACTATAAGATTGACGGCAACGCCTAGGCGATAAGTACACGAATATGTAACGAAAACAGTTTACCAAGACACGCCATCCGTATCTATTGAAAGTTTATATACTTATTTAGTAGACAATCGAAAATTTAAACGATAGGAATTGTTTTTGAGAACTTTTCAATACCCATTTCTATTCGACGTTTAGAATTGGTTGAATGAAATATAAAATTTTATGACTAATTCTTTTGAAGTGTCGAATTTTAGATGTGATGAACTAATGAGTGAGAGATCTTTACTGAAGTATAAAAAAAAAAAACGATGAGCTTTCAGAAATTTCTTGGTCACCTATGTTATACAAGTAAGTTGTAAATGTTGTGTAAAGTTCCCACACAAGTTAAATGTAGCTATTAGGCAAACGTAAAAAAGGTAAGATAAATTTATTTAAAGAACAATGTAGTCTGAGCCTGTCTTATTTAAAAGATTCGCTTATTTTTTAATGAACGGCATCAGCATCGGCAATTACTTAACTTTTACCTTTCTCAAGTTTAGCTCAAACGCGATTTTCTAATTTTATATTTCTTATCTTTCTAGGATCCCGTAGTAGGACTAGGAACCCTCTTAGTAGGTACTAGAAAGCTGTAATTTGTGGTGTGTAAAATAAAAACTAAGTTAATTAAAAAAATTACATTGAGGCATTACATTACATTAAAGCTTTTATAATTTAATATATCTATAATTAAACATACGTAGGCATAAATCTAGATCGGTCGTTTTATTTTAGGTGTAATAATCGCCCAAGATGTAACATGCACAATTTTCTCTTTGGTAAGTAATTGTTAATGTCTGCACGGATGGCGTAGTGGTTTAAGCGGTCCCCTCGCCGCTTACTACTACGCTGAGTGTTGTGGGTCCGATCAACGCATGGGACGACACTTTGTGTGATCCATATATTGTTGTTCTGAGTCTGGGTGTTCTTGTCTTGTGTCCGTTTCATGTATATTTGTTAAGTCCCCCGCTACACAGGATATATTCCTAATGCAGAAGTCTTTTTCATTTAAAGTCTCACATCATCTTTTTCATTAAAAAAAAGATGTTGTGAGACTTTAAAGATATTGGATAAGAAATGAGAGAAATGGATAAGAAAGATATTAGATAGAAATCCCCTCGGATACCACGTATCGGTGGCATGTCGGACTCGAACCGACTAAAACCGCACGCCGTCTCGGGTACTAATAGCCGGGGAACAAGGTATACCCTAGAAAGGAAGTCCCTGGTGCCCCGACATACCTCGGGCCATCTACAACAACAGGTAGACGAACCCCGTGTGGGCACCCCCTGTTCCCTCTGCTCCCTGGAAGCGAGCGCGCTTCGCAACTGCTAGGGTGACAGATGGGCTCACCTGTCACCCCCAGGCCTGCGCTTATGGAGGACGGAGGTCGTTCTGCGACCTCCGGCGCCTGAGTCGCCTGCGGTACCTGGCCCGTTCCCGGGCCTAGCGGGCCCTAAACCTCTCCCAGTCCCGCGCCGCCGTCTCCTTCGCCAGCATAACTTGCTCGCAACACGAATTTCCAGTGCCGACATCATTTAATCGCTAAGGGATCCTTGTCTCACTAAAGACATAAAGTAACAGTACTGCCAACTGTTTACCATTATCTTGTCTCATATATTTTTTAAACTTGGCACCGATAGTACTTAAATGTCTTTTTATGTTACTTGGCAACCAATATTACCACTTACGCAATCGAAAAACACAATAAGTTTTAGCAAAGTTGTTATGCCTAGCTAGGAAAGAAAACTTAAAAGATACTTATATAATAATGATAAATATATATTCATTGGAATCAAAATTAGGGTACATTGCAATTGTGCACGAAAATAACTGTAGTACCTAAGTAGCTTGCAACTGTGACGCAGTTATTAACGCCCACCTCCGGAGATGGCACAATACCAAATATTTATAGTAGTGCTTACATTTAAAACTTATGAACAGAAAAAAAAGAAGAAATGTGTGTATCTGTGAGTGTGTGTGCGTATGAACATTTAATATTGTATTTGTCGTTTGTTTTCAATTTGTTTATTTTTTCGTTGAAATTTAATTGTATAGTATGTTTATTTGTATATGTAAACGTGAGTATAGTGTAGGCTTATAATGATAGTTCATATTTTAGTAACTTTCTGGTGGTTTTGAGTGTTTCCACGGCCTATTCAAATGTCCTGCTGGCGGTACCCTAACCTAAACTGCACTCACATAGTTATCTTTAACATTGTACACGGACTTAAAAAAAGACACCTCTGTGGTTTGTTTCGGCGTTTCTTCCCAGAGTCTTATGAAATGCCAGCGCTTTCTAGCTGTAAAGTCCGACTTGTAAAAATATCTGAAAAGATTTACTTGCAGAAATAAATATCATTTATGTATCAGTGTGTTTGTGTATATGTGTATGTGTACGTGTGAGTGAGTGAAAGTGTACTTAGAATGGAACAGAAAATTGCTAATATTTTATGGTTTTAGGAAAGCCTCTAGCCCTTCGTAGGTTAAGGTGCTCAACTAATTGCTAGTGTTCGATTTACAGTCAAGTAGAGTTAGGGGGTATATATGAATCTCTTTGTTCACTTTAACATATAAAACAGATCCTAAAAATAGTAAAGTTTTTTGTCTATGGCATAAGGAGGCAAACGAGCAGACGGCTCACCTGATGGTAAGCAACTAGACGCAAGCATTGTGTTACATATGATATCATATCTCCTTTTTTTGGACTGATATGTAGGGTCAAATGGAAGGCAAGGCGAAAGCCGGTGTAGAAAGTTATAAAACTTGAATAAAAGTGTGGATCAACGTCTTTGTAAATATTGTCTATTTCAATCGAAGCTGTCCTAGTAAAGCAGTAGCAGGGTACGCCGCTACCGGTCACCTTCCAGATGACGCAGGTGTTCGCCGTACACGATTGCTTCCGAAAGTATTTGTGTCGGATCGGCCGGGAGCCGTATGAAGCTGAAGTATGGGTAAAAAATCGCAATACATATATCTAAGAATAGTAATTAATTGCTCGGTAGTGATAATGATTTGATAAAGATTATCGATCTTTCTTTGACTGAATATAGAAGAAGTGTGCTTTGTTTTAATTACGAACTGATTTTATTAAACCCTGTACTCGTATATATGTAAAAAAGTTTATGAATACATTTACAAAATCTACAAGAAGATGAGCGATGGAATTCATTTAATATTGTCTAACAAGTATTTTTGATAGTGACCCTGACTGCTAAGCCGGAGGTCATGGGTTCGATTCAAACCCAGGACAAATAATTATGTGATGAACACGATGATTTGTTCTGTGTTACACCTAGACACAGATATCAGATATTATGTATGTATTTAGAAATATATAAGTATTTTATCAGCAGCCTGGTTATCATCGCACAGGCTCTGCCTAGTTTGGAATCAGACGGCCCTGTGTAAGATGTGTAAAGTTATTATTATTACTGATTTTCACTTACGACGTGGTATAACTCCGGTCGAGTCGGCTCATTTGTGCAAAAGCATTGCTCTCCCACTGTAATTTTATGTTTTGAAGAAACATCTTGCATGTGGAATAAAATCTTTACACTATATTCACCTACTACTGCTAGACTTATACCGGCCATTGTAATTAAGCATTGTTCGTAGACATAATAGTACTCTGTGTCGTAGACTGTAAAAAGTCGATGACAATCACTTTTTTATAGAAGACTATTAACGTCAAACTCAAACTTAAATTATTCAGTAGGCCTTTTAACAGTCCACTTTCAAGCGTCAATAGTATACAAATAATCACCATATTTAAAAAATATAAGACGACAGAGATGAGATGACCTTGATGACCTAAGTAAAAGGTCATAAGAGTCACATTAATACATTTAAATCCCTATTAACATAGGCCAGTCTTCCGCCATCAGACGGGCTTATAACTAAAGCTATGGCAATTCATTTACCCGACCAACCAGAAAATATTCCTTTAAGAAAAAGTAATAGGTAATTGTAGAATTTCACAAATCCCGTCAAATGGATGGAACTAGTGGTTAGAGCATCTCACGTGGAACACACATTACGAGTATTCATGTTCACTCTTTTAACTAAATTGCTTGCATTTTGATGCGAATCCGTAACCACTAGATTGAATGCCCCCAAAAATTCCAATTAAATTTAAATAGGACTAAAATCAGTTAATGTTTTTTTTCTAGTGGACTCTCCAGGCATAGGCTGGACAATGGACATACCTACATTCCGGCCTATACGAGCTATTGAGACTTGCGGTACCTTACTCCAGCTCCTAAGGGAACTAGGGTAATGTTCCTTATCCATTTCCCTTATTCTTGCCGTTTTCTTTTCATTGTCCCTTCAGAAAATGACTACATTGCCAAGAACATAAGGCATAACTACGAATTGCGCCGATGTCAAATAGAACAGGGCTCAAAAATTTATTTATTTGGAACCTTAACAGCTATGTTACATGATACAATGAACCAACATTGAGTTGAACCAATCCATTATAAAAAGTATTATTTAAAGTCGGTTCATAAATGGCGAAAATATCGCGTAACATACACAAAGAAGTAATCTATCTAAGTTCGGTACCTCCTGCTTTTTAACAAAATGAACTAGTTCATTGACCCTAATGCCTCTAACTTAGTATTTGTCTCTTATGTATTACCACTTGTTGAAAAGATGTAAGTCACACATGACAGAGACATGTCATCTATATCACGAAATGTCTTAATTGCTTCACAAACAAATGTCTACCTTACCTGACATTCTCAGTTGTCACACCATCCAATTCTGAGCTCCTCTTGTTTTACCGCATTTTAACTCAATCATAAACTAATAACACTGCGTATTTTGAGACTTCTTTGTGTTCCTATGTTCGGCAGGTTGCCACGATACGCCACGATGCGACATTTCCGTCATTATAATAACAAAAATTAAAAATATATATTCTACTCTAATGCGTAATATTGGCGTAGATAGTTACTGTTGCTGAGCAACTGTGTATCACTAGGTATACACAGTTGTACACTACAATAACAACACTTTGTTTATGCAGTGTACAACACGCGCAACCGGTTTTTAAGTTTGTTAATAAATATGTATTTTTATACGTAAATAGCCTTATATCCTTCATATAATATACTAGTTTTTGTCTACAGCTTCAGATCAGGTATCCATCGGGAAGAGTTCTTTGAAGTTTAAGCCTGCTTCAGCAGATAACGTAACTTAGACAATTTGTTTACCTACCTTAGAAGTTAAAAACAATATACTAATTCAACTTTGTACTGAAAAATTGAAACTCGTTTTATTCTAAAATGTAACATATTTATTTAAAATATTTGCCCTCATTATCTATACATTGCTGCCATCCAAACGGATATTCATTTATGCCTTTGCAATAGAACTCTGGGCATCTTAATTCGACAAACTGTGTGAGGAATTTTGTGCTGCCTCCTGAGAAGATTTTTTTTATCACGTTGAAGATTGTCCAAATCATGAAAAAAATGGTAGTTCGTTTGAGCAAGATCTTGGGAGTCTGGATGATGACGTATGGTTTCTAACTGCGGAGTTAGAACGGTTTCTCGTGCAGTGTCAGGTCTTGCGTTATCTATAATGGTGAAGATCGATTCACAAGTCGGGTTGTTTCACTGCAAGTTTCGCCATCATTGTTTGAAGTTCGGCACAGTAAACATCAGCTGTTATTGCCTGACCAGACCTAAGAAAGCTTTGCTTTAGGGCACTGTTGCAGCGTTTGACCTGGGGTCAGCCATTGCATTTTTCGCTTACAGTTGTCGTAAACAATCCACTTTTCGTCACATGTCACAATTCGATGAAATATTCCTTCATTTCTGTACCGATTGAACAAGGCAACACAAGTTTCAACACGCATTTTTTTTGCAGATTAGTCAAATCATGAGGCATCCATTTTTCATATTTTTTTATCTTATTGATTTGATGCAAATCAGTAAATATTGTAGGTAGGGCAACGTTTAACATTGCCGCTAATTCCTGGGTAGTTTGATTCGGATCGGCTTAATTCGGCTTCCACCATCTCCTTTAATTCAGCGTTATTCATCTGTGTGGGCTGTCTTCCACGTGGTTCGTTCTTCAAGTCGAAGTTTTGCACGATCGTCGAAGAAAAACGCACGGTGCGTTCACTAACAGTCTCCTCTCGAAACGCAGCATTGATATTGCGAACCGTTTCTGCCGCGTTAGTTCCGCGTCGGAACTCGTATTCAAAAATGACTCTGATTTTCGAAGTATCCATCCTTCACGTCTAAGCTGAATAAAAAAACAGTTGAAAGTCGAAAATCGAATGTGCACATTTTTTATAAGAAGGACTTAATAGGTAACACGTGAAAAAAGTTTCACATGAAAATCTCACACCTTGAAGGTTTTATGTCAATTCAAAGTACTTATCTATTACTTAACTATTACTAGATCAGATTTATCAGAACAAACTATGCAAGACAACATCACTGCAAAAAGAAGGACATCTTGAACACCAATTTGAAATACCCAGTGGCCAGCGTGAAAACCTCTTTCCTAAGAAAAGGCCTATGTTCAGCAGTTCACTATTAAAGGCTGGATTAATTATAGGTATATCACAGAAATTAATATTATATTTGATATTTATATGTATGTATACCTAGTACCTATACTCGTATATTAGTAGGATTTATTTTCTCCTTTGGTAACATTCTTTAATTCAGTCTCATCCTTACCTGTCCCAAGTATACACCTGCCACACAGCTTTGCAACACAAAAAGGTTTGACTGTAAGAAAATGCCTGTGGCATTAAGTCCGCCTCATGCAATATGTTTGTAGGCAGTCTTAATAAATTAATTAATTAATTAAGAGTAAGTCAAACATAACTAATACCAGTAGACGTCCGTGTTTGACAATGTTTACTGTGTATTGTGTTAATGAAAAAATCTGTCTATTTGAATGTTAAAATATAAGGTTTTTTTATATAAAACTCATCGGACAGGTATTGCAATTAAATAAAACCAATATGTTATGAATATTGTCATTTATTCAATAAATAATCTGATGTTATAATAATCATAATAATATTACCTTGGCCTCGCATCCACTGCCGCAAACACCGAACAAAGATGAACATTCATCAATAAAGGTAAACAAAACCATGCATAAATGCTAGCATTCATATTTACAATATTTCCTATTACCTCGCTAATAAAATATAAACAAATAACATGTACATAAATTGGTAAAAAACCGATTACATATGCTCTAAAAAATGATCCAAAATATTATTTCCGATCATTATAATAGTACGTACAAACTAGTACCCGTACTAATATAAATTAAATACTATGTATAACTAAATATTTGATCCCTATATCACCGGTTGTAATATGTTGTTTTAGGGTGCATTCACATTATGCTGCTGATTTGACGACTACAGTAACCTTATTTTTCTTCAAAAATACTAGTATGAGGGCTTAATAGTGATCTTGTTGTAATTAATTGAAAATAATAATTTATGACGAAATAAATATTTGTGTAAAAAATAAGACCTACTAAGTACCAACGCTGGAATGTTAATTATTTATTAAAATTTAAAATTTGGGGGGGAAATAGCACTGATAACGGGAATTTCTAAATTCATTTATTTGAAATTAGTACTGTCAAACTATTATAATTATCTATAATAAAGTACTTAGTTGTTTATTAAACAAATTATTGAACTATCAATATATTATGTACACACTGTAAACGAAATACCATCTTATGGGATTATTATATATTAACATGTGTGTGCATTGTAATAACTTTTTTAAACAAGTCTACATAACAAAGCACGACTGCAAGAAGGCAATTTAAAAGTAATGAAGTTATTTAAATATGGTCATGATATACCGTTTTAAAATCTTGATGATGAGCCCTTTAATTTGATACCCAAATAGCAGTATCCAAAAAATTATAGCGTCTGACAGTCACTTGGGTTACCAAGACGAATTTAACGATATGTTAATTAAATAAATCCGTGCAGCGGTTTGGAAGATATGAGGTACCCTTCCTTGGGAGACGGGTAAAACAGACAATTCCCTCAGTAGGAATATATCCTGTGCCGGGGGACTTTACACACATACAGAACAACGATTTGTGGATCCCACGAAGTGTTGTTTCGTGCGGGGATCGAACCCAGCACAGTAGGAAACGGTAGCAAGCAACTCATTGAAATTACAGGTATTTTGTACTACCTACACCAGTCGTTTGCCGTGTGGTACCTTGATCGGTGAAAGTTTCAGAATATTCATTGTTTTATCTTACAAATGAAACACTACAAAGTTATACTGTCTACGCCTTTACAAATACCTTATTATAATATTTTTAACTGTTAAATATCACTTATTCCATATTATTGTAATCAAATCGCACATAGCAACATTTGTGAATGCGTCCCTATGCAAGCATGCAAGAAAAATTAGATACTTATTTAGTAACATTAGTTATTTAGGTAAAGAAAACTGAATGCCTTCTAGAATTTTTGAGAGATTATTAACGAAACGGAAACAGTATTTATAAGTTATAAAATTTATTTTCGAATTCCTTCACTAGTTTAGTCGACTGCACGGATGGCGTAGTGGTTTAAGCGGTCGCCACGCCGCTCCCTACTACGTCGAGTGTTGTGGGTTCAAATCCCACATGGGACGACACTTTGTGATCCACAAATTGTTGTTCTGAGTCTGGGTGTTCTTTGTGTCCGTTTCATGAATGTTTGTAAGATTCCCCGCGACACAGGATATTTTCCTAATGCGGGAGTTGTCTTTTAAAAAAAAAAAAACTTATATGCTCTTATAGGACTCCTGGCTTTAAAACTCGAAATTTAGAATAATGTATAGAAAACATTACTTGCGAGATTCCTCGTTTTTTTTCACTTCTAGGTTATTGTTAGCAACACGAAAACCTTAAAATGTATGTCATAAATCTTTACATAAATTATTTTTATGCACAAGGACAATGTAGGACGTATATGCACCCTACCAACCTAATATATTATATTAGGTAGAAATATACTTGGTTAATTTAGTCGAAACATGTCAACAGCATATATATGAAAGAATTTGAAAATATCATTTTTTTCAATTGTAATATAATTATATTTTGTAGCCGTATTATATAATTTATATTTTGTACTTAAATCAAAAATATAATGTAAATACACCCGTAAAACCTCACGTTAGTAATGGATTATACTAATTTTTTTCCATTCCAGTTGACAGTCTGAGATTCAGTGTTATCAGCATAACCATAACCTATCGATACACGAAACTGAAAAGAAAACTTATTGTTTATGACTAGAAGGCATACAGTTCAGTAAGCATTTTTTGTGAATAAGTTCCATGGAGTCACTGGTTACTTTTAAATATACAATCGAAAAAGAAATTGAGAATATATATGAATTACAAAACATACACGATACAGATAAATACGTAATCCCTTAAGTTTAGGTACATTGAATTAGAAATGAAGCGTAATTACAGGGTAAAATTCCATTTTAGCCTACACTTTCATATTCATAATATAAAAGATAAGGTTACTAAATAAATCAATAAATAGCCACTTAGAAAACAATATCTTCCTAAGACAATACTAACTTAGTAGATTCCAAACATGGAATCCAAATTATCTTATCCAATCGAATGCCTAACATCTTAATACCTTGTCCTATAGAAAATATTAAGTAACAACAATTATTGGGAAGAAATTTCTTAAGCCAAATTTTACAATTTCTTAAACCATACTTTATCAAATAAAATGTACAACTTTATACAATCTTCATCAATCAGAGACATTCAATATTAAGAGATATTGGGTAGGTATTAACAGATACAGGTTTTAGGATAATTTTCATTACAAAGTGATTGTTTTTTCAAGAGGAATGTACAACTCAAAGTGCCTATATACGAGTATAGCTCAAACAAAATATATATACTTGGTAAAGATGAAAAATATTTAATAGTACAAATCCTAACAAATAAGTGTGTAATTAAGTGACACAAGATGGTCAATATTGTGTATGAAACCTGCCATCAGCAATTGGAATTGTGCACATCCTGCATTTTAATAAAGTTTGAAGTAATACTTACATTGCTTAGTCTGTACTGGCTATCTACTATGTTTAGTCCTTAAATCAGTACAGAATAATTAAAGCAAGGTAAACAAAAGTACTCAACATTGTAACTGTATGTATGACATAAATTTAAGTGGTCACCAAATATCGTATAAAACGCTGACAAGTAGAAATTCCTTTGATAACTACCAGACACGTATTTACTTATAAAATTCTCAATTAATTTACACAAAAACAAGCAATTTCAAAATGGAGAATATGTATTTATTTATTTAAAGTAAGTAACGTCATTTTCGGTGGCGAGTTTATGTCCAATTTCTCTCTCAAAACTATTTATTTGTGTATCATTTACATTTTTTTAAACAACTGTTACTGACAGTGTCTTGTCGTAAGTTCTATGGTATTAAGGCAAATTTCTACGAATTTTTGTTTAGTTATTTCATATGGTAGAAACAACTTTGCAATTTGATATTTTTGTAAAATTTACTGGTGATTATTTTGGCATATTTTGGAACGTTATTAAAGATCTTAGAGATCTTCATGCACTTCTACTACAGTAGTTTTAGTTTATTGATTTCGATTTTTGTCTACAACGACTAGATATCATTAGAAGATTTCCGCAAGGACTTTCATAGCTTATTTTAAGATGAATTTAAACTCAATGTACACAACAGCTATTATTAAAAAACGGGATATTGTGGATATAAATATCTAAAGAAAAGGATCTGTTTATTAAAGGTAAAAGACATCACAAGAAGAAAATATAATACGATACCTAATATACCCCTATACCACTTAGAAGATCATGTGATGAGCGAAGATAAATAAAAAATTATATATAGAGAGTCTAAGACAGATGCTAGATAAAAAATATTAAAACCACTTCTGAATTACTTTATAGAAGTGGTTTCAACGTTGGCTGTTAAGGCCGTTGCTCACTTGTCCTATATCACGGTAAACGACTTATGTAAGTGGAAATTATTTTTAGTTTAAATTATTATTAGGTTATAAATTAAATTTTGAAAATTGCAGATTTTTTTTATTACTAGGAATAGATTCTGTGTCGCGGGGGACTTGACAAAACTTCACGAAACGAACACAAAGAACACAGCGGCGAGGTGACCGCTTAAACCACTATGCCATCCGTGCAGTCAAAAAATTATGATGATGATAATGAGTATTCACAGCATTTTGCCAACACACTGGTACTTCTACCAATACTACAACCGGGTCGACCTATGTCAATGTTTCACTGCTAAAAACATTATAATTGTAGCTTACTAAACCATTCCCACTTACTAAAATCCTTTTATTGTATACTACAAGTGAGCAACAGCGACTAGTCATATTGTTTGATAAATTGACTTTACTCCGTTCACTAACATAGCAAACAATATGACGAATTGTATAAGCTTTGGATTTGGTATATGAAATACTCATAACTATTATCAATAATAAAACTATCGTAAACTAATTATAATTTCTTGACTAGTATATTTTTGTATTGTTCTGGTCAGTGCGTCAAATTTTAACATCAGTGAGTATTATATCATTATTGATTCCCACTAAATACCAAAATATTAAAACCACTTCTGAATTACTTTATAGAAGTGGTTTCAACGTTGGCTGTTAAGGCCGTTGCTCACCTGTCCTATATCACGGTAAACGACTTATGTAAGTGGAAATTATTTTTAGTTTAAATTATTATTAGGTTTTAAATTAAATTTTGAAAATTGCAGATTTTTTTATACAACTCCTGTACTAGGAATAGATTCTGTGTCGCGGGGGACTTGACAAAACTTCACGAAACGAACAGAAAGAACACAGCGGCGAGGTGACCGCTTAAACCACTATGCCATCCGTGCAGTCAAAAAATTATGATGACGATAATGTGTATTCACAGCATTTTGCCAACACACTGGTACTTCTACCTATACTACAACCGGGTCGACCTATGTCAATGTTTCACTGCTAAAAAAGCTAAAAAAAAAAGCTTACTAAACCATTCCCACTTACTAAAATCCTTTTATTGTATACTACAAGTGAGCAACAGCGACTAGTCATATTGTTTGATAAATTGACTTTACTCCGTTCACTAACATAGCAAACAATATGACGAATTGTATAAGCTTTGGATTTGGTATATGAAATACTCGTAACTATTATCAATAATAAAACTATAGTAAACTAATTATAATTTCTTGACTAGTATATTTTTGTATTGTTCTGGTCAGTGCGTCAAATTTTAACATCAGTGAGTATTGTATCATCCTTGATTCCCACTAAATACTAAAATGAAATAAAAATATTTAATTTCTCAACATTTTAATTATACTTTATTTATCACCAATTTTTCAGTGGTTTCTTTTTAACTGACGGATTATTTGCAGTCGTATTTGCAGGTAAAGACTTTTATTTATTAGACACTTATATTTTACGTGGGGCAGGTCGAGTTAATTAGTCGCCTTATTTTTAACTTATTTTCAACATGTATACCTTTAATGCCTAGTTTACATGCGTGCCGAGGCTTGGCAAACGTCCACAAGCTCAAAGTCTTTACGCTATGATGCCAATCACGCGCTTGCGAGTGTTCTATTGTGTTCCGGACTGGCACACATAACAGACGTTTACATATTTTTATTCAAAATATAAATCGCGGCACCAACTAAAAAGAATTATTCTCTGGCTCTTCTGCGCAAACTAAACTGCTCAATCAGTAGAGCATTAAGACTAAATGTTGATTCCTGACTGCTCAACTAATATCAAATTGAGCAGTAGGGAACAAGCACGCGCCAACGTGTAAATACGTCGCAAACGCTTGCCGCTAGCTAGCTTTGATCTGTTTTTAAAAAAAGGCCCCTAGTACCGATTGACGACGTGCATACGCGAGCCGAGCCAAACACCCCGTTTACACGCTTGTGTTTGTGGACACTTGTTGAGGCTCGCCATGCGTGTAAACGGCTTATTCAACGCACTTTTAATTTGGTAACACTCTAATACCCTATTGAAAGTTCAACATTTCTCACCGCGACTGAATAGATCAATCGTGAGCCCAATTTAGAACCCGAATTAAACAGGTCTTCTCACACAGTACGTCTGGGGGTGATTCACCGACAAGACAAGTATACGAACAATAATTAACAACAACTTTCTAACAAGTGACATACGAAAAATATCACCGCCACACGGCGTCCCAACCCGGTTAAGTATCGTGAGCCATCGACAAATCGTCCGCCTTTACAGGTAAACGTCTTGATAACAGGCGTACGACGTGCGGGTCCAGGGTGTCGACTGCGTGGATCACGCTTGTGTATCGGTGTCATTGTAGTGGCTAGGCCCCTCGTTGGAGCACACGGAGTCTTCAGGAGTACGCGAAGCGTCGCCTGCCTCGCTCGCCTCCACCGCGCTGGCGCTGCCGCCCGCCTTGCCCTTGCCGCCGCGTCGCGCCTGTAGCGCCTGCACCACCACATAACAATTACACATAAACAACATACTGGCAATTACGTCTTGAAACGAGTTGATTTCTAATACGACAGCGATCCTCGGTGTTAAAAAAAAAACAATACAATTGTTTCTGAGAAAAAATCAACAGGTTTCATTTATATAGAATAAGTAAAGTAGTCTAAATACGGGAATTAAGCCGCGCATTCGACAAAACAGACATAAAATATTGAAATACACACTTAAAACCCTCGACCCGAGCTGATCGGATCGAAAGCAGATTAGCAATAGTGCCCCGTGAATCGAATTCGGAGTATCGGTTCCTTTCTGCCAATTAGTATTGGTTTGAATCGGGTACCGGGAGCACAGTAAGCGATATCTGAAATAGCGACAGTACGGTGTTGCCAGGATCTGTGCAGAGCGCGGGGCGCGAGGTCAGAGGGCGGGGCTCGCTACAAGGCCGGACATCCACAGGGGTCATGCGGGTGCTCCACGTCAGTGTGCATGCGATATATTATGTACTTTACACCTCCTTACCTTTTCACGACTGCCTTTTTTCTAAAGTCGGAGTAGGATGGAAGATGAAACATTTAATTAATGAGAGTGAAGACAAAACACCTATATAACACGAGGATTGTAAATACCTAGTAACTAGTCACATTACTAACACATCGGGTAGATATTTTTTATATCTGGAATGAAGGTCTAAATCAGAAATATCTACAGTCAGTTAGGAAGGTATACTGAAAACAAGATACCAAACAATATCGATGACATCATAGGAAGGAAAAAGAGGAAAAACAAGTTATAGAGTAGTCAGTCAACTTAAGATTACAAAATCATCTAAGACAAAGTAAGAAGATAAAAATCATAACAATGGAGTACCTACCTACTACTTAACTGTGCACATACTGTACATATACCATAAAATAGTTTACTGAAACTTCTAAAAATATCTGTTGACTAAACACTGAAACAAATTACTTACATTTCTATATAGGTATAACGCAACTACCCCGTAAGTTGTTATTTTTACATTTCTATATCTATTTCCCTAAAATTACGCTGACAAAATGATAGATAGCCCAGTCTCGTATTTGTCGGGTATACCTGTAAGGAGAACCGTCGATGTGGTGGTTTCCTACCGCCTCTGCGTTTACTGATGTGCGGATTGTCCCTTCTAAGAGTCTTATTGCGTAATATCTCCAATTGGACGTAAAGCCTCTTGAGTTCCGCCCGCACCTCTTCAGTTGTGGGCTCCTCCTCACCTTCTGCACCGAAGCCCTCTGCAGGTCCTCGCCGTGATACCTTAAAAATGGTTTCAGACAGTGAATTTAATATTGGTCTGAATATATCAGTTATAAGATAAAATTTTAAATTTAGAGATCGCCTGGCAGTCGAATTTCGATAATATTGGTGATTTTGAATATTTTAATTGACTTTATTCACCTATTCACAAAATACATGAAGCAATTCATTTCCAGTATAAGTTGAACTGTCATTCCCGATTTCTACTAGTGTGGTTTATGTCACTGTTATCAGTTTTTTTTTTAATTTATAACATCAACAGCCTTTGATAGTCCACTGCTGGACATAGATCTCTCCTTAGAAAGGTGATTTTGGTCTGCTATACCACGCTGTTCGGATGGGTTGGTACAGGGTTTGCTTCGCCGCCGTGGAGGCTCTCCAGCCGGTCATCGCCGAGTGGGCAGGGCGGCAGCACGGGACCCTTTCCTTCCGGCTGACGCAGGTGCTTTCCGGGCACGGTTGCTTCGGAAAGTACCTGCACTCGGTCGCTAGGAGGGAACTGAGTCCCGCCTGCCACCACTGCGACTGCAGTGGGGACTCGGCCCAGCACACGCTAGCGGTATGCCCCGCATGGGCGACGCAGCGCCGGGCCCTCACTGCAGTCATCGGAGTGGATCTCTCGCTACCGGCCGTAGTACGCTCCATGGCCGGTAGCGACAGTTGTTTTACCGCGGTCGCAACCTTCTGCGAGGAAGTAATCTCGTAGAAGGAGGCGGCGGAGAAGGCCCGGGAGGACGACCTCCACTCGGACCCGATCAGCCGCCGCGGGTTTGTTTCAAGTTTTACTTCTCTTTGCAGTAATATTGTCTTGCGCAGTTTGCTCCCTTAGTCGGCTCCTAACTTCTAAATTTTTTCAAACATCGTGAAAACCACAAGGCCTTCAGAGTGTAACATATACCATAATTGTAAAACAAAATTTTTTGCTGGTTTCTACAAAAAAACCCTGGCCCAACTGTCTACAGTGAGTTCTAACCCTAAGTACATATTATAATATGTATCGTAGTGGGAAAGTAAACCTCTTGAGCGAGTGATCGTGCGCGGTAGCCGTGCCACAACCTGGGCGCCAGCACGCAGGCGAGCGCGGCGCCGGCTGACAAGTGAGCGCGCGCTGTCGCCGCGACGGGCCAGCGCTCCGGTGCAGCGTCGGGCGCGCTGCTTGCCACCAGTCGCCACCACACGCCACACATACCTTCGATGCACAGCGCTGTCGCCAGCCATCCACGCTCCTGCAACGGTTCGCGAGTCCATGTATCACATTCAATTGTTTCTTACTTTTATAATATATAAAAGTTTATTTTTTTATGTTTAAGACCTTGAACATTTATAGCACAGTAATTATAATTTTTAACCCCTTCAGGGGTTAAAATTCATAATTACTTAGATGTCTAATAATAAAGGTTGGTACCTGAAATGGCACGTTGGCATTTCTAGCAGCATATGCAATTCGGAGGCCCGCAGTGAGTAGCAGGATCTCTGCGGCCGCAGTGACGTGGTGCCACGCAGCCCGCGCACAGCCGCCGCGTTCGTTATCCTCACACGCTGCTGTTGCTGTGAAAGCAGCTAGATAACATGCTGCGCCTGAGACCATCGCGCCTACTACTCGTAGAACCTTAAATGTGAATTAAAATTAAACAAATATGTATCATCACAATTGGTGCCAAAACTATTTAAGAAAGGAGATCGGTTAAAATCGCAAAAAAGAATTAACAAGCAACGTATTCAAAAATAATGCACTTTTAAATAGAAAAGTGAAAAACTTTGTATTACCACAATAGCAATTTAATAAAGAAACATTTAAGACAGCTCTCAGGTATATTTGAAGTAGCACTTATCAAAAATAATGATTGCAATACTTCAGAGTCTCTGGGTGTCCACCGATGAGCTTTCCTAGTCCGAAATTCAGCTAGTAACACCCACAGTCGTAGTACAACAGATCCGTAGCATGCGACGAAACCAAGCTCTCTCAACCAGGCACCTGCTATGCATCGCCATTTCGCCACTGAGATGTACTGGGATAAAGCCTGAAAAGCATTGTAATTAGTTATTATTAAACTGTTGCTTACTTAGTTTATGGCAACTGAAAAAAGAACACAAAATCTTGTCTCTTCTCTTGTCAAGAAAATCATTACAAAAAGAAGAAAAAAGGTTTGGCTTTGTCTATTTAAATTGTGTAGATACTTACAGAGCCATACATCAATAATGCACCCAGAAGAACCACCTCCAGAACTGTCCACATACCCATGGCAACTGCCTGGAATACGACATTTTCTCTTTTAGTATGTATCTCACTATTATATTACATCGTTCTTTTTTTTATAACTGGATGAATTTGACTAATTCTCTCTTATTAGGAAAATTGTTCAGCAAAATGGCAACTTTTGGGAAAAACTTTTGTTTCGTAAAATTAAAATAAATATATAGGAATTTTACGGTTTTTTTTGTGTCTGTGTCTGTGGAGTCATTAATTTGTCGGTGAAATCTAGCCATAACTGTTACAAAGGTAGGTAGTATACTAAAAAAGTAACATCATTTGCAACTGGGATTAAATTTAAAAAAATATATGTTAGAAAATGTGAATCACACAGCCACTATTTTTAAACTTTAGTTATTGGCATAAGATGTGCATGATATGGGCAAATCTAGTGAGAGACTGGTGAGAACCAGTACACTAGTTATCGGTGCAATTTAATGACGGGTTTCCAAAAAGGAATCGTGCCTCTGAAATGAATATATCCATTACATCCCGGTTTTCAAATCTAGTAGACACTAAAAATAAATATTTAATTTCATAAACATTCTGGCTTGCTCAAACCATATTTGCAACTTACTTTACATTTTCTTTTTTGAAAAATGATGAGTCCTATAACGAGACAGAGAAGCATTCCTGCTAAATTAGCAGCTAGAAGTGCTACGCGGTATGCGTCAGTTAGACAGGCCGATGAATCATTGCCCATTCCACATGGCGTACACATTAATGGGGTATTGCCGTCGTTCACCAGTGTAATATCGCTCAGCCAACCATTTCCACCAGTATTCCAATGTCCATCTCGACATTTACACCGATACTAAAAACATGAGATTGATAAATCAGAAAACATCAAAAAAGGCAGCTGAAATTTGGGACGAATCTTTAGTTACCTCAATTTTTTTATCACTGGAACCCAACGCAGGCGTTGCCTCGCAATCGGTAGTAGCAGAGTCACAAAGTGGAGGTTCACCAAACCAAGCATTCATAGTATCTTCACAGGGTAGGGCAGGCCATCGATGGAATAAAGCGGCTGCCGACCTAGCAGGCCCCACCCCACGTGCTGCGGCTACTCCACCCCACCAGCCCTGGCCATCCTCTTCACACGAAAACCAGGCAGTAGACCAAACTGCTGCAGTGGCATTCCACGCCGATGCTAACGTTCTCCAAAACTGACGAAGAGTAACTGTATTGTTTTGCTGGAAGACAACAAGTCTAGGTGGATTTGCTATGTAGAGTACTCCGAGGTGAAGTTGTGGTGCGCCAAGGGCAACAGCGGCAGGTGCAGGGACAAGGGGTGCATGACTGGCAGCTCGTGCGAGTGCAGCTGCGCGCTCCTCGTCCGCTACCCCCTGTTGCACTAGCTCAGCTAGCGCACGCGCAGTATGAACTGCAGCCGCCTCGTGTTCTCGTGAATTCTGAAATTTGAACCAATTTACGTTGATGTTGACGGATTTTCTTAATCCTATGTCCATGCAGGTTATATGACATGTACCGGTGGCATCGGTGGCAGGTTTTTCAATACAAGTGGTTCGCAGGCGGGCGTGGGTGAGGCGGTCATAGTGGGCTGTGAGGTGCGCTGTTCGGCGGGCGCGGCAGTGACGCATGCACAACACGCCAGAACGTATGTTGCCCACGTCACTCGCGCCGCCCACGCCGCCCGCCGCGCATACATGCTTTACCTCTCTAATCGCAGACCCTGAAATAGTAGAAAAAATACAGTAACTCAAACATAACAGCTTACACTTTTCTAAATACAATTATATTTCACAAAAATAATAGTATATTTCCAAAACTTTAAAAAATTTTTTAGTATATTTTATCTTATGACTGACATAAGATAAAATATTATTTAAGAGCAAGAAGAATTTTAGTAACTGATCCGATTTATCATTATGTTGGTTAAGAATTTAAGAGGATATCAAATATCTTATAATCAAATGCTTACTTCATTTATCGCTGGTCAGTAGCATAGTTATGTCAAGTTATATCGATTTATAATAATAAGTGACTCCGTAGCTCTGGCATCTCATTTTCACTTATGCCTAGAATCAGGTTCACTTCCATCTTTTATGACTACGGGAGTAGCTCACCTACTCTAAAGGTCTGGTAGTGCCACGGATCCCAAAAATTATAGGACAATAACCACTAATTACCAAATAATAACTAACGTCGGCCAATAATTACTAACGTCCATTCTGAGAGTGAAGATAACATCTCATATTACGAACAACTCTATTACGAGTATGTCTCATACTCAGAATGGATGTAGGGTAAAAGCCGGATAGTTGCCTCAGACGGATAGTTGCCCCGGTTTTGAATACACTATGATAGGAGTATTAGTTATGTTAGCGCTTTACTACAATAAGAAGTGACCCCCCACAGGCCTCAGAGCCATGTAAGCAATCGGAGTAGGCGAACGTGTTTTGTCCGTGTGAGCAAAAATCTTCCGCTGTAAAACGCTGACGGGCGTTGATCTTATTTTGGTAAGTAATTTTAGTTGAATATTTTTATCATTGATCGTGCTTTCAGTCAACTTTTTGTTTCTTTGTATGCATTAGAGTCTAAATTACAATGTTTATTATGTTTTATTACTCAATAGTTCTTTTTTATTTTTTAAATAAAAAGGGCAAGTGTCCGCATCAAAAAGGATAGTCGCCCTACTTACTTTTGCGGATAGTTGCCCCTAGAGTGACTGTAAATTCTTCATCGAGCAAGCACAGTTTTTTTTTCTTTTGTTGTTTTTTCCAATTTACTGTGACTTATAACTTGTTTTAAACAAAATAAGTAGTTAACTGTTTTATATATTTATTTTAGGAAAGCAAAATGCCTCGCAAGTACAAGCGAAAACCAGCCGTGGTGCCACGCCACATCAGCTGGACAGAAGATAGCTTAGCACTTGTAATACCACTTAGCATGACTAAAAGAGCTAAACAATCGGCAGAAATTTTAAACTCTGACGATAAAATAGTCCAGAAGAAGGATAAAGCCGAAAAAATAAAAAATAAAACAATTAAAATTATCACAGAGAAAAAAAAAACGTTAGACAGTAAAAACAAACTAGCTGGTAACAAGAAAAGCATTGAGAAAAAAAAGGAAAACCGCAAAAAAATAAAAACACCAAAAAATATATTGATAAGACTAGCAGTGAAACTGAATCTGATAACGCAGAGTTTATGAAACATAATAAGGGAAAAGCTTTAAGGAAGAGAAGATTAATAATAACCTTAAGTTTGAATAATATTTTTATATTTTAAAGCATTAAAACTGAAGAATATTTAATAATGTTAATTAATTTTTTAATGTGTACTTAATAAAAGATCTCATTAAATTTTGAAGACTGATAAATAAATGATAAAGATTAATTAAATTGATATAAATTTATTTTTATCCCAAAAAAACATATTCGAGGTGACTATCCTCGCACGAGGCAAGTATCCCTCGAAGGATTTTCCACGCTAGGCTACTATCCGCCACAGTAGGCAACTATCCGTTTTTTCAGAGGCCAAATAAAACAGGATTTAAATAAAACCAATGTTAATTATGTTAACAAAAATAGGCTATAATAGAAGATAAAAGACCTATGTTATGAAATACATATCGTATAATTTTCAGCAAGTAAATATTTAAAAAATATAAGGCTTTTTTAAAAATGTGGGGCAACTATCCGGCTTTTACCCTAGAGGTGGGACACGTGGCACTGACGAATTTCTTATTATTGACACGAGTATTAACCAACAAGTTCGCCGTAATCGAAAAGATCTGGCGACATGTTGGATAGATTATAAAAAAGCTTCTGACTCTGTGCCGCATACGTGGCTCTTGGGGTGATGGAGTTGTACAAGATTGATACAACTCTATACACTTTTCTGGAGACATGTATGCGGCAATGGAGAACGGTTCTTTGCTATCCAGGATGTCGGCAATCTCAAGGCGATGGTGAATATATAATGATAATGCGGGGTATATTTCAGGGTGACAGTTTAAGTCCCTTGTGGTTTTGCTTGGCTTTGAATCCTCTCAGCACTATCTTGGAGATTTCAGGGCTAGGCTATCGTTTGCAGAGAGATGGTAAGGTTATATCCCACCTTCTTTACATGGATGATTTAAAACTGTTTGCTTCTAGGAATTCCATACTGATGAATTTACTAGAAATAACTAAAACTGTAAGTGAATGTATCAGGATAGAATTTGGTGTAGATAAGTGTGCAATCAAGGATTGTGAAATTTGATAGGTTGGAACTCTCAGATTCCACGCACCTTAGGTGTCTCTAAGCTAACGAAACTTACAAATATCTGGCCATGTCACAGACGTCAGGTGTAAATGAGTTGACTATAAAAAAATCGTTACAGGAACGCTTCTTTAGCCACCTGAAAAAAGTATTAAATATTCTTTCGTCAAGTGGTAATAAGGTGAGAGCCTATAATGATTGGATCATACTAGTTCTAACCTACTCTTTTGGAATACTTAGATGGACTTAAGACTGAACTAGATACCCTGGATAGAAGAGTTCGTACATTGCTTACTGCGTACCGAATGCATCATCCACGTTCATCGGAGATGAGGTTATATATTCCACGAAAATGTGGTGGTCGTGGTTTACTAAATGCCAGGACCCTCCATAATCGTGAGATATGTAGCCTGAGGAATAAATATTAACCTTTTTATTAATGTGGATATGTATAGGGTTTATAATAGCAGCTGATAACGGACTCACTCCGCTTGGTCTAGGTAAAGAGAACTGGCGCAAATTTGCAGTACTCAACATTACTGATCATAAGGAGATATGGAAGGGCATGGACGTTTTTATCGGGCCTTGAACAGACCTCAGGTAGACCGACTGGCGTCTGTATTCTTGCTACGATTCGGTGACCTTTTCGGAGAAACTGAAGGTTTGTATTTGCAATTACTGATGAAGTTGTTATGACGAATAATTATCGGAAATATATCCTGAAGGACGGCACAATAGACATTTGTCGGCCATGTCATTGTCCCGGTGCAAGTCTCAGACATATAATTTCCGGTTGTTCTCGTCTTGTTAAAGGCGAGTACTTGCATAGATATAACCAAGTGGCCAGGAGAGGCCATCAGCAAATTGCTCATTATTATAACCTTGTGACCATAGAGTTACCGTAAGACAAATATGTGCCCTACAACGTTCTTGAAAATGGTCGTGCAACGTTGTACTGAAATATATCCTATTATCACTGACAGGACTATTGTTGCCAATAAACCAGATATAGTGGTAATAGACCGATTAGAGCGCTGAGCAATGATTGTTGACATTACCACTCCGCATAACAACAATCCCGACCCGACACCAATGGAACACTATTTTTTCTATTTTTGAATGTATTTTATTTGTACATAATTACATAATAATGTAATTTATATGTATTTTTATATGATAATTAAAAAAATACTATTAATGTAATATTTTCACACATTTTATTATTCACACGGGCTGGTCTGGTCCCGAACTAGGCAGAGCCAGATTGCTGATAAACATACTTTTATATATTTTTAAATACATAGGTACCTATTATAGATAAAGTACACCCAGACACGGAACAAATCACCGTGCTCATCATACAATTATTTGTCCTAGGTGGGAATCAAACTCACGACCTCTGGCGTAGCAATCAGGGTCAGTAACCACTAGTCTAACAGGCCAGTCAAATATAAGATATCTGAGCCTAGATGAATCTTGCTAATCGACTATTAATCAACGGACATAATAGACAGAAGGACACTGCACAGAAAATTGTAGACATACTCCACTCAGCTCTACATACTGATATGAGACTTTAATCACAAGCTTGTAGCATTGATTTATGAAGAACGAAACAGGATCAGGATTGACTGTATTGGCAAGTTACAAATAACGTATCCCTTCTGTCCAAAGTAGAGAAAATGTTTTCTTTAAATATTCGAAGGTGGACTAGTGTCTGCAAATTAATTCTGTCTACGGATAGCATTTAAGCTTCTTACTTTGACCTTTATAATATTTATCTTTTATCTTGATATAAAATTAATTTGATTTTTAGTCCTAACGACCTATAAAAACTAAAAAGTATGGAGTATGTACATATGTATTTCGTAGATAACTTAGTCAGAGGCTTCTTTTAAAATATATAAAATCCGTTTTAATATCTTTGAACGGCTTTATGAGTCAGTAAAAACGTCTAGACTGTACCGGTTGTGACGGAAAGGCGGGTCATATTCAACTACTTTTATTTCGTAGACCTCGCGACTTTAGGAAAATTTGTATTTTAACTAGTATTTAGTAAGAGTATGTAAGTCGAATTTAGATGTGATTTTCTCAGTTGTAATATGGAAGTCTTGTTTTAACATCTGATGCATATTCATCTGGATATGCCGCCTAAGATATTCATTAGCCTTGCGTATAAACGTAAATTATCATTCTAAAATGCAGGCAGTAACAGCAGTTCTGAGCATGACTCACGCGTCAGCCAGTGTCCTGCTCAAACTTATTGAACGGAGCCGAAAGATCTGACACAAGCTACCATCGGAACACTTCTTCTAAGTGAAAAGTTATTCTTAGAATTACTACGTTAACTATTTTAAAGTTTATATGTATGAACACAAAGTTGAAAAATATATGGTTTCGGCAATCTAGATAGCTCTCCTAAACAGAGTTAAACTCGCGACAAACGCTTATTCGGTAGGTGCAAGCCGAGCCGCGAGCTACAGAATTCAGTAACTAGGTACTTAAATATGTTATGTTACTGTTAATACATATTATAGTGAGTAATGTTCCGTTTATTAATTTTTGTAACATGTAACATGGTCTTAAAATTTATTCCGAAAATAGATCGGTAGTTAGGGTATATCGTTAAATTCATATTCACCGCAATTAACAAGACCATTTCAAGTTCAAGTTTTCAAATAGCGTCAAATGTTAAAATACATGTAAGTATATGTTATTATGTGAACAAGGGCAGATCAAAATAAGTTGGATTTTATAAAAAACAACGATGATATTATGAGCTTTTTGTCTGGTCGTCGCCATATTAGCCTTCTAAAGCAGTTTGGCGTATTATGAGCTTAGATTGATGAATGACATCCATCTACCCGTAATCTTTATTGATGTAGATCTGAAACGATCGTCAAAGGAGGTACTGGTGAAAGTGGTATGTCTCGGGTTTTCTAAACCTTTCATGAAAATATTAAAGTTGGAGTAGTAATACAATTTGACTGAACGTTTAGAAAACACAAGAAGACCTACTTTGTTTACTTTTTTTTTTCAATTTTATGAAACAGATAAATATGGTAAAACCCTGTCACACAAAGAAGTTCCTTCATAATGGACAATAGGGTATTTTTTATAGCAGAAAATGCGCACTGCCCGTTGATAGACATCTGATTATTCGTCTGTTGAAGAATTTACCCCACATCCAAATTACTGAATGCTTTTATAATTTAAATACACATAAAAATACACAACTACACGAATAATTTGAAAAGTAAAACCATAAACAGAGGAGTACGCAACAAAATTTGCGGGCACTAAGCATAAATAATGTTAACAGATGAGCTGAAATTTTTGGCAGTAAACTAAATTTTGCAACCTTGACTACGACATTTTTACAGCGGGCATCTCTTCCGCAGTCAGAACTTTAATAAACTCTCTGTTAACGTTTACTTTAGCTTGGCTTTCTCCGTATATTACCAATCTGAAATTTACATATACTTAGGGGACTATTTGTACTATATTACCAACTCACAGGAGCTTTAGTTTAGATAAGAATGAAGAGATGTTGACGACTCCTTGTTGCTCCAGAGTTTTGCTTCTTCTTTTCAAAGCAATTTCTGAGATTTCTACGTCAATTTTGGGTCGATTTTCATAATTAAGTGTATACGTACATACGTTATAATATATTAATCTGGATCTGGTGATGGGAAATTAAGGGAAACCCTCAAATTTAATAGGTACACCTAGTTGCATCCCTTTTCTCGAGCCATACAGGTGTTTGTGTTCTATATTTCATTATGTCATGTTGCTGAGCTGACGATAGAATGGACTTGGACTTTTAGAAATTATTCCAATTCAATTCCATTATTTCCATAGTATAATCACCTTAGCTAGTAGGATATTAGGCGTCTGTAACAGAGATCGTCGACTATACAATATAGTTACTTTGTAGTAGTATAGTTACTTAGATAGTTATTTATGTAAATAATTAAAGAAAATAATATTTTAAAGAAAATTTGAAATAGTATCAACTACTTTAAATATCTCTGAGTCCATTACGGCGTAATTAACTAAAGTCTAATTTATAGAAACTAAATTCGTAACGTTACATATAGCTATATCTGTTAAAAAATAGGTGGTGACGTAAGAGGTTTAGAGGTTAACGAAAGTGTGTTGTCCCATTACTGGAAAACAATTGCAAATTGATTCTGGAATTGTAGGTATGTATTACTATGTATATTTGGATAGGTTTATTCATTAATGGTCACAAGGACATTAGGATTAATAAAAAATTGTGATTGCAGACAGTGATGTTTTTAACCGACTTCACAAAGGAGGAGGTTATCAATTTGGATGTTTAAATATTTTTTCATGTATGTTCAGGCATAACTCCGATTTTCAAAATTCTTTTTTTGTTCGATAGGGTCCTATTTCAATTTCATATAGATCTGATGACGAGTTTCGGAGCTTAGACAACGGAACTCTTAAAAAAATTACAGTAAACCAACCGCGATTGCTTTTAAGCGCTCTTTGTTAGTATTGTTTGAAGTCGGTTCAACTTTAATAAAAAGGATTTATCTTGTAATTATTAAATATCATTACTTATGTAGTTCGCAACTAGGTACAAAGTAATTCCCAACTGCCTATAGATGGCGGTTATAACTAAAGAAAATGAGCTAAATATTTGAACGATTTGAGTGTTATCCTCTACATGCATTATTGATAAAATCTAAAATAGATTTGTTTTAGTAGCTATGCATTTACGATAAGTAATGTAGATTCTGTTCTTCATACAACATTTATTTTACTAAGGACGTTTTAATTAATTATCTTCTCATATTCTGGATATAAACTATGAAAAATGTTTGTTTTAGTTGTTAGAATATAGTAGTAGTAAGTAGAAAGAATTAAAAAAATCAGTGTGTACTATTGTCCATTCAGCTCCAAGTAAGGAGAAAGATAAAGGCAGATATTGTAGCGTAGAGAAGTTTCATTCAAAACAGTCATAACAATGTTATCTTGATCAAACTTTTAAAAGATTAGAATGGTTCAATAAAATAGACCACCCACAAGCTTTGCTAAAACCTTGATAATTTGACCAACCATTGACATTGGTCAAATTATTACAGTCGAAATAGACGCTAGCTAAACTTTGTAATAACAAAACTTGTACCAAAAGTTCTGTATTTGGAGAATTGACTTTTGAATTAATTAATATAGTAAGAACTTTCTGTATTTCAGGACTACCATCCTCTGTCGATGCACGTAAGACAATCCTGATGTATATTTTCTGCAGCTATATTCTAATTAATATAATAAAGGCAAATGTGAATTTATTTTCACTGTGCAAGTGTAAATCTTTCACTGTGCAAGCAGTAAGACTCTGGAACAACTTGCCTGAAACAATTCGACAAGCTAAAACTTTGCCTGTTTTTAAAAAAATATTAAAAGATTTTTATCTGTCATTATAAATACTGTTCTGATTCCCTATTTAATATATTATATATTCCAAATATGTATGGGTATATGTGTATGTATGTATGTGTATTTGTATATGTGTAATGTCCATAGATGTATATTTGTGTATGAATGTGTTTGTTTATGTTTGTAAATATTTTTAAATATTCACGTGATATTGTGTTACGTGTATGTATACTAAGCTAAATTGTTAAATACCTAAAATCCATGATAAGGTTGTCTGGAAGAGATCGCTGTGAGAGATAAGACCGCCGATTGTTACGTTTACCTATTTGTAATTCATCTTTTGTTTTGTTTTTTTTTTCTATTAGTGTATACAATAAAGATATAATAATAATAATAATAATAAGAACCGAAAGCAACCGTGCCCGGAAAGCACCTGCGTCAGCCGGAAGGTAAGGGTCCCGTGCTGCCGCCCTGCCCACTCGGCGATGACCGGCTGGAGAGCCTCCACGGCGGCGAAGCCAGCGCGTGGAGTCTCCAGCCGGAACGACCAACGAGCCATCGTGGCTCGGCGAGCGGCTTCGCGCCACTCGCGCACATCCTCGGGCGGAGGGCGAAATCCGCTCTCCGCCCGGGAGTCAGCCACTCGCCGATAAACTTCGGCGAGCACTTCCGCCTCCAAATCCCACGGGGGAGTTCCGGCCAACGCGCACGCCACCTCCGTCGACACGGTGCGGTAACCGCGTATGGCTCTGACCGCCATTACCCTCTGAGGGCGCCAGAGGCGTGCCCTATTCTGGGCGGTCAGAGACGCCGCCCACACCGGTGCACCGTATAGTGCCATTGACCGGACAACCCCCGTGTACAGCCGTCTTGTCGCGACGCTGGGTCCACCCAAATTGGGCAAAAGTCGCCCTAGGGCAGACGCAGCGCCGACCAGCTTTGGAGCAAGCTGTCGGAAGTGCTCGTCGAAGAGCCACCTCCCGTCGAGGATCAGGCCCAGATATTTCATCAAGGCCCGAACCGGTACGAAGACCGAGTTGACCACGATTGAGGCGCCAGGGGGTGGACCACGACGGGGCCCATGAAATAACAGGGCCTCCGTCTTATCTAGGGCCACCCGTAAGCCCAGCGCCTCAATGCGCCCGACCACCAGGGAGACTCCCCTTGTGGCCAGGCGCGCCGCCTCTGCGAAGTTTGCCCCCCGGGCTGTCACCAGGGTATCGTCTGCGTAACAGATTACACCCAGCCCGGGGGGGAAATCGGCGTGAAGGGCCCAGTCGTACCCTATGTTCAACAAGAGGGGTCCAAGAACAGACCCCTGTGGAACACCGCACGACATGGGCCGACACCTCAAATTACCATCTCGGTCCTCGTACACGACGGTACGCTCCTCTAAATAGTCTGCCACTAGCCGCCTCAGGTACTTTGGCACCCCATGATAGTGGAGTGCTTCCCTGATGCAGCTGAATGGCAGACTATTGAATGCTTTGGCGATGTCCAATGACACCGGCAACAGCACGCCGCCACAGCTCCCGCCTCTTCGGTCACGGCCCTCAGGCGCAAAATAGCGTCGACTGTCGA